GCATTAAAATAAAATTGATGATTTTTTGCATGAATATGAAATTGAAGATTTTCTTTTTTAGAAAATTGATGATTTCCTTTCATTAAAATGAAATTGACAATTTTCTGCATCAATGAAATTTCTGCGCTGAAGAAAATTGATGATTTTCTTGTATCGATGAAATTTCAATACTTATGAAAATTGATGATTTCCTTGCATTAAAATAAAATTGATGATTTTTTGCATTAATATGAAATTGAAGATTTTCTTTTTTAGAAAATTGATGATTTCCTTTTATTAAAATGAAATTGACGATTTTCTGAATCAATGAAATTTATGCGCTGAAGAAAATTGATGATTTCCTTGCATTAAAATAAAATTGATGATTTTTAGCATGAATATGAAATTGAAGATTTTCTTTTTTAGAAAATTGATGATTTCCTTTCATTTTAAATGAAATTGACAATTTTCTGCATCAATGAAATTTCTGCACTAAAGAAAATTGATGATTTTCATGTATTGTTAACATTTTTGCATTTATAAAATTTCTGCGCAAGAAAAAAATTGAGAAAATTGATGATTTTCTTGCATGGATGAAATTTCTGAACTAATGAAAATAGATGATGATTTTCTTGTATTTTGATGAAAATTGATGATGATTTTTTTGTATTTTGATGAAAATTGATGATGATTTTCTTGTATTTTGATGAAAATTGATGATTTTTCCTGCGCTCTGATGAAATTTATAAATTCCCAAGTGTCGCTTATGAAATTTTCAGAATCTCACGTGCAACTGGTGGGTTGCAAGGTAACATAAGCAAATCATCCACCACCCTACACGTAACTCGATTAAGAATTGAATCAACCTGTAACGTGTGCCTCGTGTAGTACAGCAAAAATAAAAAAAAAAAAAAAATTGAAGAAAGTAACCTTGAGTCATTTAAACAAAAAGGTCTAGTCAATTGGAACGCATTGCCGCGCGTTCAGAGAAATCGGCCACAGCCTATATGGCAAACTAGGTGGACTATCAAAAGGCCTCAGCATCTGTCAATTAGTTAAACTTGTACGCTGAAAGTAACCCAGTTATGCGAAAGGGATATTGAATAAATTCAATGCGCAGCCGCAATACCATCCTCTATACATCGTCAGTGCCTTCACATTATCTCTCTCACTCTCTTTGATGCACTTTTCTCTCTACCTCTCTCTCTCTCTCTCCCTCTCAAATATGGTCCATCCAGCCTCCCTGCCGGCTACCGGTTGTCTACGGGGGTTGCAGTCTCTTGTTCCCATGCAACAGTAATGTTGCAATTGCCACAAGTGCCGTGAATCTTAAATTTTTCTAAATTAAAAGAAAAAAAAATCTCGTTTCGTTTTTAATTAAATTTAAAATATTTTTAATAATTTTTTTTTCTTATTATTTAATATTAATAATAATAATAATAAATTATATTTAATGTTAATTAGTTTGAAGAGTATATCCATAATTAATATTATATTAGTGATTTTAAATGATCAATAATTAACGGATGATTTAATACAATGTTAATTAATAAGTGGGCAAAATAGAATAATAATTTATAAAATTAATTTTTTTGATATAGAATTTATCATATTTAGAATTTTTTTTTTTTTTGAGAGTTTTCATCTATTTTTTCATTAAATTATTGATTCATCAAAAATTTTTATATCTTTCATCAAAAACTTGTCAGTGTCAAAAGAAGATTTTTTTTATGACTCATCAAAAAACTTATTGGTATCATATAGAAGTTTCATTTTTTCACATAATTTTCTATTTTTATTAAAGTTTATAAAAATTGATTATTTTTATTAAAATCATCAATTTTCATCAATTTTATGAAATTTTTTTTAGTTTCATCAGATCCAACGATTTTTAATAAGTTCGACGTTTTTATTGAACTTATTTCCTTTTTACCAAATTCATAATTTTCATCAAGTTTATAAAATTTATTATTTTCATCAAATATCATCAGTTTTCATTAATTTTATGAAATTTATTCGTTGCATCAATTTTTTTAGTTTCAACAATTTTTATTGTGTTCAATTTTTTTTATTGAACTTTCTACTTTTCATCAAATTCATAATTTTCATCAATTGTTTAAAATTTATTATTATCATCAATATCATCAATTTTCTTCAATTTTTATTATTTTTTATTAAATTCGTCAATTTTATCAGTTACAGCACTAATTATAAAGTTTAGCGTTTTTATTAAATTTATTATTTTTCATCTCCAAATTTGTTCTTATCAATATCATCAATTTTCTTCAATTTTTATTATTTTTTTTATCAAATTTGTCAATTTTTCGTTAATTTCATCGGTTATAGGAATATTTATAAAATTTAGTCGTTTTTAATTAAATTAATAATTTTTCATCAATTTTCATCAATTTTCATCAATTTTCATCATTTTCATCAATTTCGTTTATAATTTCCATCAATTTCATAAATTCCACCTACTATTGCATCAATCAGATTTCCCCGGTTTCATTACTTGAATCACGAAGTGTATTGATTATCGCATTAAAGAATTCGAAAAATTTAATTTACATAATTATTGAAACGAATAATTAACTAATTAATTAATTACAGATAATATTAATAATTAATAATATTGAGAAACTAAAAAAAAATGAATAAAAAATAAAAACAATTTAAAAAAAAAAACTAAGAAACAAAACCAAAAAACTAAACTTAAACTAAAAGACAAAAATTAAAAACAAAAATAATGAAATAAAAAATAGAGTCAAAAATTTTATATATAATAAAAATTTGACATTCGTGTGCGTTATTGATGGAGAAGAATATTGTCGATTTAATTATGTTCCTCGATATTTGTCAACTATATTTCCAGACGAAAAAAAAATCACGTGATTTATGTACACTTTGGGCAATTATAACATTTATAAAAACTGAGGATTCGAGTAATTTTTTACGATGGTGTCAAAAATATTCAATACTTCATATTCGTCATCGTGAGGAACGTAAACGTGAAAATTCACATGAAAAAATTCACAACGAACAAAAGAAAATACTTCGCATTCTTCAGGAATTGTTTTATTGTGGCTGCCTACCACAGAGTAATCTTGGAATTTAAACATGGGTGTTTTCTATTAAAATTAAATTTGCCAACTTAATTCAAAATTGACATAAAAAAATATTTTTTAAAAAATTATTTCTTATAATTGTCAAAAAAAAAAAAAAAAAATTCCCTGCAAACGAACGAGAATCTTCGCACAATATGGGATATTTTCATCTCAAGCCGAAAAAAATGGTCAAATATTTTTTTGTGTATTTAAAAATTGAAAAAAAAAATTTAAATTTAAAATTATCACAAAATGAATTTTCTTATTATCATCAATTTTCATATTTTGCCTTCTCGTATATACCAGGGAAATAAATAGTTTTTTAAAAATTCAAATATTTTTTTTTTTTTGTTAACATTTTTTATTTTTAATAACTCGACAAAAATTGTATACTCTATTCATCAAAGCGTATCAACTGACCTATATAAAGTATATTTATAAATTTTATCCAAATTTATAAAAATAATTGCTATTTTTTTAATTAAAAATAAAAAAGAAATTTATTTTTAAAAAATCAAACTTTTTTTGTGGAAAAATTTTTTAAAACGAAAAAAAATATTTCTTTCATAAAATAACGAATAATTTAACGTATATAAAAAGAAATTAAAAATCACTTTTTTTTAAAAAAAATTTTTAATTTGGTATAAAATGGCTCATAATTATAATATTTTTTAATTCAATCTCCTATGAGGATGAAAAATGTTGATAAAATAAACTCTTTCTATTTTTATTAAAATAGTTTAAAAAAATTTTTTTAAAAAATTTCAGAAATGTTAAAAAAACAAAATTAAACATATGGGGCATTCTTTATGAAACGTTACAGTTAAAAAATTAAATATTGAATTTAAAAAATTATTTAAAAGATTTATTTTTTTTTACTATAATTAACTTAGTTATCTTTCAAGTTAAAATTTTAGGGAATTTTTACCCTTGTAAGAATTTACCGAAATTTCAAAAAAAAAAAAAATAAAAATTATTTTTATACGTTACATTTGAGGAAGAATGCCCCATATATTCTTTAAGAAGAAAAAAAAATGTTTCTCTAAACACGAAAAATCTTTGTTATCATTTTCTTTTCTTTCAATTTAAAAAAAGAAAGAAAAAAAAAAAAAAAATTTTTTTTCTTCCGTCGTCGGTTGTTGCGGGAATCTGGGACGATATTATGGATAAAAGTTCGATTGTTTAAACTGGCGCGCGTACCTGTGGATTCCATATATACGAGAGAGTGTGAATTCCCAATAGGGTCACGGTTAGTTCCACTTGCCTACTGTCGGGTTATTTTATCCAATCTCAGGGTTAAACTATATTAAATTATTTTCACTATATATCTATTTTAATTCTTCAAATCTCAATTAGATTATCGAATTATTATAATACTGCGGGAAAATCCAAGAATCAATTTTTCATTTTTAACTGGGATTACAGATTTTGTGGAAATTTGCAATTATCATCATCGTCATCATTATTGTCATCTATATACTAAGGGGAAGAGATTTCCTCAAAAAGTTTATTCTAGATAATCTTTCTGAAATTTTAACCCAGATTCATTTAACTATCCATTGTGAAGCCCTATATCAGAATATTTTCAATCTCTATATCACATTTCTTTAATTCACATTGGAAATTAATGCTTTTACTCAATAATGAAAATTGATGATAATTTGAAAAAATTATAATTTTTAAAATTAAATTTTTTAATTAATTAACTTTTTAATTAATTGATTTTTAATTAATTTTTAATTAATTATTTTTTGAATTAATTTTTAAAAATAACAGAATTTGTGAATTATAAAATAATATTATCGCAGTTATTTTAAATACCAATTTTTTTGGAATATAAATAAAAAAAAATATGCAAATGAAATGATTTTTTTATTTTGGAATTGAAATTAATCAATTATTCCAACTTTTTTTCAGTAGTGTGACCACGCGTGTGGATGTGGACACAAGGTCACAAAGAAAGGAATGTCTGAGAGCGATAGTGATCAAGTAGCTCGGTCTCTGGCCCTAGAGCAAGCTTACGTTCACGAGGTCTATGAACAATGTGCCGAAAAGACTGTCCAAGGCAAACAATGGCCACGAATTTATCAATTTCTCGAGGAATTGGAACCAGGGGCTCTCGTCTGCGACATAGGTATTAAAGAATTTTTTTTTTTTTGTTTCTAATCTAAATCACCAATTTTAATCTATTTCTAATTTTTACATTTGTAAATTTTTATTCAAACAATTCTTCTTTCTAAATTTTATTAATAATTAATTTAAATTGATTAATAATAATTAATTGAAATTAATTTAAAAATGAAAAATTGTTAAATAAAAATAAAATTAATTTTCTTTTTTTTTTGCCATACAAGGTTGTGGGAATGGGAAATATCTCAACGTCAACCACAGTGTTTATAAGGTCGGCGTGGACCGATGCAACAGACTGACTGATATTGCTCGAGAAAAAGAAAATGAGGTTGGCACAAATAAAAAATATATGCAAATCTTCCTTATAGTAAAAAAAAAATAAGCGGAAACTTTTTTATTAATCTCATTTTTCAATATAAAACTTTCATTTAATTCAAATTATTTATATATTTTTATAGAATTATATTTTGTTTTGAAAAATGTTTCACTAATAATCAAAAATTTTTTTCTCAAAAATAATTTTCATTTTAGGTTTTAATATGTGACAATTTATCGTTACCCTTCCGTGACGAGAGTTTCGATGCGGTTTTATCAATTGCAGTCGTTCATCATTTTGCGACCACCGAGAGACGAGTTCGAGCTTTAAAAGAACTCGCTCGCGTCTTGCGAATTGGAGGACGACTCATTATTTCCGTATGGGCCATGGAACAAAAGCACCGAAAGGTAATAATAAAATTAAGATAAAAAATTTGTTTTCCATATTGTAGTCTACATTTTGAATTTTGAAAATCTGATGTCAAATTCGTAATCAGCGACCCCAAAAACCCCCTAGTAATTAGTTTCAAGCGAAAATGATAAATTTTCACATTTTTCGGTCGCCATATTGGATCCGCCATTTTGAATTTTGAAAAACTGATGCCAAATTCGTAATCAGCGACCCCGAAAACCCCTAAGTAGTAATTTTCATGCTAATCTAAACAATATTTACAAATTCGTCCGCCATATTGGATCCGCCATTTTGAATTTTAAAAAACTGATATTAGATTCGTAATAAGCGACCCCAAAAATCCCCGAGTAACAAGTTTTAAGCAAATTCAAACAATTTTTTAATTTTGTCCACCATATTAGATCCACCATTTTGAATTTTTAAAAACTATTCTTAGATTCGTAAACAGCGACCTCAGAAACCCCCAAAATAAATAAGTTTTAAGAAATTTAAAGCAATTTAAAAAAAAATTAATTAACTACTGTAGGGGATAAATAATTAAAAATTCATTCTCAATGAAAATTATAACGCGACATCAATTACCGAACTAAACTCATATTAACATAACCTATAAAGAAGAGCGAAGTGTTTTTTTTAATATATTTGCCATACCACTTTTGGCCGTGGGCTTTTTTCTTATTTTTTGAGGTTATTTTTTTAGAATTATCGTTTTTATACAAATATTTATGTATAGAAGAAATTATTTAGATTATTATTAAGCAGTTAAGCTCATTGTTATTCATCATTAATATAAAACAAACCTTTTTTCTTCTTTCTTCACTGCGATAAATTAGTTTATCTCCCTTTAAAATTAAAATGCACCATGTCGCAGGATTATCTTATTTTGTTCCTAGAAGTAAACAGTGTTGCCAACTTATGTCAGAATTCCATAATGTCCCTATAAAGTAACTTTAGGAAATTTAATAATACAAACATTAATTTTCAAAATACTAATGGTACTTTTACTCTAATTCTTATAAACTCCTTTCATTTGTTTAGTTAGTTGAAAAAATCACTGAAAATGTTTAGCAATTGTAAATCAAAAATTCAAAATCATCAGTGTTTTAGTGGTAGAATGCTCGCATTAAAAGCCTGATAAAAAAAGGAAACCCTTCGTTGAAAGCTACTTCCTTTACCTTCAAAAAAAAAATTGTACTCACCTAAATCTCCTTAAAAACATAATTTCCATATCTGTTCCAGTTCGAATCCCAAGACGTCCTGGTTCCATGGCCCAAGGCTTATTGTCTCAGTTCGAGGTCCAGTAGTGGAAGATCTTATGGCTCATCCTGCGATGAAAAACATCGAGAACATCCTGAAAAACATATCCTAAAGAGGTAAATTAGTTTCAAAAAAAAAAATAATCAATTAAAACACATGGAAATCTTCATTTTAAATTACATCTTCAATTACAGAAGTAACCAGAGGAAATGCAAGAACAAAAGTTACTGGACTGATCCAATATTTAGTCCATCGCCATCGACAAGCAGTCTCTCAAGTCCCAATGAGACGTGCTATAGTTTTTTTCGACGTGCACTACAAAAATTAGCAGGCGGTAGACGTGGTTCACGACCATGGTTCATTGAAAATTGGCAAAATGGTGGTAATAAAAATCGACGACACTATGAACAAGAAGACAGTGGCGATATGGATGATATGCCAATTGAATTAAGACGACTCGAAGACACAACATTAACAACATTGAACAGTAGCAACAGCAGCAGCAATAGTAAACAATCCGAAAGCTTAAGTATCAAATCGAAAAGCCTTGGTGATATTTTAGAAATACAGCGACTCGATTTGGTACGTTCACGTTCAAGTATTCCCGGTCTTTGTTCGACAATGACATCAGAACTTCAATTAGACGATGATTCAATGACAACAACAACTACCACCACGACGACATTATCATCATTGAGCACATCAAAGCCACGATTAGTCAAACAAAAAACACACTTCAATGATGATGATAATGTCGACGTGGAGAATTGTTTGGAATTTCCTGATAACACTGCCAATGAACAAATCATCAAGGATCTTCCAGACATTCAGGTAATTATAAATTCTTCATAAATTTTAACGTAGAATTCTGATTTTACGATCCCTTTTTGTATAGAAGAAAGTTTTAGTAATTCCGCTTACTTCAAATCAATCTCAATTTGTCGAGACCTATTGTTTCTCGTGCGTTCCGCTCGTAAAAGTTACCGACAGAAAGTCGTTAAATCTCTTTCTTCTTTTTTTTTTTGGTCTTGGAGGAAAAATCAATACCCACGATATGAAAACTTTTCTCTAAAACAATGAGATGTTTTTTTTTAAAAATATTTAAAAATAAATGACTCTAATTAAAAATTCGTGTTTTTAAATTCATAAATTGAAGAGCTACTTATGAGGAATGATGTCGACCCTCTTGAAAGGAAACAAACTTCTAATTATTTTTCTTTTTCCCAACAAAAATAATTCTTAACTTCTTTCTATCAGAATTGTTCTTTTTTTTTTTGCTGAATAGGATTCACAAAATACAAAACGAGGAAATGTGCAGAAACAAAGTTCAATGAATGAAGAATTAATGTCAATTGAACGACTTGAAGAAAAGGAACAACTTCGACGAAATATCACTAAACAATCATCATTAAATGAGGACATCATTTACAAACGAAAAGCCTTCGAAGCCTTTAGAGAGTCTTTCTATTCTGGTAATGCTTCGAAGAGATTTCAATTGTTAAAAAGTGGCCTTACAAATAAGATCAAACAATCGACGACAAATATTGAAAAAGTATCGGGAATGTCAATTAGAAATGGATTTGTCAAAATACTTCAGGTAAATCTTCCTCTTTTAGGTGTTTTTTTTTTATTCTTTAGTTTTTTTGGTATTCTAAAATTTGTTTCTTTTTTTTCCAACAGAGTTGGAAATCAACTGAAAGTGAAGTTCCAGTATCAACAAATGTCGAATATACAATACAAGCGGAGAATTTACAAAATACAATAAAACGTGATCATGATTTAATTGAAAGACGATTATCACGTGAAGATGGTTCGGATTCATCAAAAGATAGTAGTCTACAAAGTGATACAAGCGTTGATTCTGAGGATAGTTTTGCATCAGTTATTTATGTGCCAAAACAAGATGTGACACCGTTAATTGATGTTATAACGGCAACAGCAGCAGCATCGCCACCTGGTTATCAATTGAGTACAGCATCTGCGCCTCCATCGCCACGTGTCAAATATCCACCTGATTTAACAGGTCCTAGATTAAAAATGATTTCCATATCGCCATTATTGAAACAATTTCCCGCAACAAGTAAATCTCTTCCACCACCAAGTCCTCCGGGTCTATCACCAAAAACATTAAATTCAACTCCAATGAAACCTTTCATCAATCATAGAAATAGTAATCAACCGATTATCAATTTTCTAGATAAAAAATTTGATTTTACATTTAAAAAAGAGGAAAATTTATCTAAAGAAAATATAGAGGAGAGAAATTTAAATTTTGATTATGACGATACGAATTTAGAAAAAAAGATTCCAGAAGAAAAGAATAATGAAGAGGAATGTCGAAAGGATCGTTTAAAACAAATAAAAGAATTACTCTATCAAAAACCAGGATTTGCAACACGTATGAAACCATCATTTCCTTTAGTTCGAAGAGCTTCCTCAGCTGTACCCGGTCGTTTGGAAACTGCAACGAAATTATTACCCCGTTTACTTTCTCTAGAATTATTTAATCCTGAAACCGATGATCTTGACAGTGATTCCAGTGGTGTATCATCACCAGAATCAGGTGGTTCTGTTATTAGTGTTATTTCTGATGAACGTTATTTAGCAAAGAAAAATAAATCCGATATCACTTCCGATGATATAAAAGAAACATCATCTTCCAATAATGATTCTTCTTCATCATCATCGAAACTTTTAGAAGCGGCAGCGAATGTTGCAAGTTCACTTGAAAATGTTGCCGGTACTGTTGTATATCAACAAAAAATAAATGACGATTTATCAATTAAAAAACATAATTTAGCCCCATCGCCAGATGAAGTAACATGGAATGAGGAATGTAGAAAACATTTACTTGATTTCACAGAAAAATTAAGTGAAAATTTAATACACGACATTGACCAATATTGTCAAAAGACCAAACTTGAAATAAATGGCGATTTTGACCAATTAAATTTGCAAAAAAAATCATCGCAAGACTCATATGATTATCTTGAATTTGACAATAAACCCGATAGTCTCGATGATGATGAGCTCATTGATAGAAGTGTATCCGAGGAAAGAATGGATTTTGTTATGATATCAAAAAATGGTGATATCATTAATGAAACGGAAGTTGAAAGAAAAACACATGATGGTAAATTAAAGGAGAAATATTTACGTTTTGGTAATTCAATTGAATCAAGCGATATTGGTGATTCAATTGAAAATACAATTAGTGAAAGTAGTCAAGGTAGTACAAGACGAATTGGAAGTGGTAGTACAGCGTCACTTGGTTCAAGTAATTTAGATTTTAGTCGTTGTATTAGTGAGAGGAGGAAATTTTTAAGTCAAAATAGATCAGCATCAGAGGAGATACCATCAAAATTTATTTCAGGTAGAAATCATTTTGAACGTAGTCGAATGACAAATGGCGCAAGTAATGGAACATTAAGTGGCTCATCATCACAGGAATCATTGCCATCGGATCAGGGCGGTGGTGGCGGTGCAATTACTTATCATCAATATTATCATGTTTTTCGTGAAGGTGAATTGGACCAGTTAATTAATAAATACGTGGAGAATTTACACATTATCTCCTCGTACTATGATCATGCAAGCTGGTGCATAGTTGCCGAGAAGGTACAAGTCTGGACTATATGACTACTTGAGGCATGGATTAGAGAACATTTTTTACATATTACTATTTTTATTTAAATTTGGTAGTGACAAAAACATTTCTCTTCAATCTCTGAGAGTTTCTATTTTTCTTTTTCTTCTTCTTCTTTTAATTGTGGCTTTTTACCACAAACTTCAAGATTTCCGACGTATTTTATGTAAAATTCGTTAATTTACACTAATAAATATAGAGGCACAATAGTTTCCTCAAATCGAAACCGCAAACAATGCGTTGGAATAGATCATATAAAATTGTAATTATAAACGTAAACAGGTTTTTGAAAAAAAATTTAAATTACCGACATAGAAATCTACCTTACCGACTGATGGTAAAAGAATTTTCCGTGAAATTTTTACCGACTTTCTCAAAACTGTTTTGCCTACAGTCGGGTAAGGTAGATTTCTATGTCGGTAATTTTTATATTTTCATTTCAGAGAAATTTCTTTACCATCAGTCGATAAGGTAGAGTTCTGTGCCAGTAATTTTTTATATTTTCATTTTTCAAAAACTGTTTTACCATCAATCGGTAAGGCAGTTTCATAGGTCGGTAATTTTACATATTTTTATTTTAAAGAAAATTTCTTTACCATCAGTTGGCAAGGTAAATTTCTATGCCGGTAATTTTTTATATTTTCATTTTTCAAAAACTGTTTTACTATTAGTCGGTAATTACCATCAGTCGGTAAGATAGATTTCTGCATCGGTAATTTTTTATATTTTCTTTTTTCAAAAAACTATTTTACAATCAGTCGTTAAGATAGATTTCTATGTCGGTAAATTTTATATTTTCATTTTTCAAAAACCTGTTTTACCATCAGTCGATAAGGTAGATTCCTATGTCGGTAATTTTTCGTATTTTTATTTCAAAGAAAATTTCTTTACTATCAGTCGGTAATGTAGATTTCTATGTCGGTAATTTTTTTATATTTTCATTTTCCACATTCGATTGCATTTCTTTACAAGATTCTATTGGCCTTTAATTTCTCGACCCATTTCAGTCATTTATACACATAAACAAATCTAAAACTTATCAAAAATCTCAGAGATTCAAAACTCCTAATCATAAATAGAAAAATTATTATTTATGACCATTTTGTGCAATATTAGCTTAGAAAACTCGAACCGGAAACGGTATTTCATATATAATACGAATTTTAGTCTCGTAGTCGTCGTTTTTCTGTTTAGAGAGAAAGAGACGCGATGATATGTAAATCGTTAAATTAGGAATCGTCCATCCTATATTTACTTTGATACATATTATATATATATTTATTGAAACTATTTCGACGATGTAAATAATTATTTCACGCATTCTCACACAAAAAAAAAAAAACACTCGCTTGTAAATATGTATAAAATGACTCTATCTTGATATATAAACGCACACAAAACAAAGTAGACGATTCGTTTCTCCAAAAATATAATAATACTCAATTCATGAATAAAAAACAAAATAATTAACTTTTTCTACTTTTAAAAATTAATTTTGAGAAATATAAAATTATCGGCTAGATTCTAAATACACAATGGAAAAATTAAGGTCTGTCTACAATGATCAAATTAAGGCCAGCATAATAGATTCGCGAATTCATTGTGCGTTGACCTTTAAAGTTTTGATATTGTAGACAAACATTTAAAAAAAAAATCCCACCGCTGTCACCATATTGTCTTTTTTTTTCTTTTAAAGACAAATTTCAATTCCAATTATTAGTCCAATTTTACAATAATTTATATTTAATCCAAATAAATTAGTCAAATAAATAATTGCTTTCACTGATTTGGATTATTAATTTTAAAATACGAAATTAAAAAAAAAAAAACTCTTTCCAATTTTTAAGAAAAAAAAAAATCTTTTTACAACATATATACCAAATATCTTCGAATGTACAGTTATATTTGTATAAAAATCGTTCTACAGGGTGTGCGAATTCTCATATATTATATATAATATTAAATTTTTAATCTCAGCAGTGTAAGGAAATATTTTTCTCAATGAATAAGAATATTCATCAAAAAAAGAAAATTTCTTTTCCTGCTCTAATTAAAAAAAAAAACTAATTCATAGAGTGGTTCAAAAAAAAAAACAATCTCGTACATGTACATTTTTTTTTTGAACCACTTTATGTATGCGCGAAAAAAAATAGAAAATCTTGTAAATATATATAGAAACACTTGTCGTTGAAAAGAGATTAATAGAGAGTTATTTAGAATCATTCTGCCTAGCGATTTAATCAAGCATCCAATATATAGCAAAAAAAAAGAGATTTTTAAGGCTAACAGGTACTAAAAAAAAAAAAAATAAATAAATAAAATACGAAAAATACATAGTTAATATCCCAGCATATCAGCGAATCGATAAAGAGTGAAAAAAAAATCAATTTTTTTTTTTCACAGAAAGTTATATACACACAAGTCAGGGTACAAGGCTCTCGAAAGATGAATATATCATATTAAAGATTTAATTTTTTTCTGAATTAAGAAAAAGGACAGCGACGCTGGTGTTAAAAAAATATATATATATAAATGTTCTATAAAAAAAATGTCGCAAATCGTTTACAATTTCGTTTACAAAAAAAAAGGAAATTGTAAAAAATTTGCGATTTATAAAATATATATATTGCCAGTGACACCATTATAAGATTGTGATATTCCTACATCCGTCTAATCCAAAAATGTATAATCACCTCTAACTGGAATATTATCTGGTTAAACGTTATAAATATATATAGTCACAACTTCAGGCATATCTTCATATATAGTAAAAAAAAAAAAAAATGATGTAAAATTCATTCTTAAAGAAATCATTTTCACAAAAGAAAAATATATATATATATAATATTACATTTTTTCAATTCTATATAGAAATACGGCTGTTGACTTTCAATTTTGAAAGCTTTCAAAAATATTCATCTAAGAGAAAAATCATATATACAGAAAAGTATAAATATATAAATAATTAAATCTGAAAGCTCTCAATAACTCGAATTTCAAAGGTCGACAGTCTAAAATGCCGAGTTATAAAAATTTAGTCATCGAATATATAGAGATTAGACGAATAGGGACCGAGAGGCTTATGTTTATAGCTTGCGATGATAGAAGTTGGGAGAATAACTATAAAATGAATCTACGATTCGATATATATATATATACATATATTATCAAAATAAATGAGTCATCGATAAATTGAAAATTAGTTTTCTTAATATTAAAGAAACATTAAAAATAAGTTTAAGGTTATGTTTCGTATGTTATCTTTAAAGCAGTGTTGGGTAACGACGTATCGAAACTTTCTAATTGGCTCTCAATATTTCCTGGAAATATTATTAGCCAATTAGAAAAATTCAATACGTCTCTACCCAACCCTGATTTCCCTCTCTTACAATTTTTAAGCCCAACGGACAATAGTAAATTTATTATTGTCAATAAAATTGTTCACGAAAACAGATATTTATTTAAAAAATTAAAAACATTTTTTTCTAAATGCGAGAACTAATTTTCGATATAACGAGGACGACTGAACTCACTAAAAAAAAAAACAAAAAAATACCCAAATATGTACTCTGTGCATGATGATGATAAGATATAATAATTCAGTATTTGACAAAGCTCAATGTTGTATATGATTCTTTCATACCGATAACTATTGCATCGCTAGCGATTATATATTTAAAGAAAAAAAAAAAAAATTAAATCCTTTACAGACTTGCCTGAGCTGCGACTCGATGTTGCTTCGCTGTAAGCTATTTTAGAAAGAATAGCCATATATAATCTGTGGCAAACAGAAAAAAAGCTGTGAAAAGTGCACTTTTCAAATATGAAAAAGCAAAAAATAAGATTGGAAAGTCAAAAATTATTTTCTCGATTAAAAACAAAAAAAAAAACTAAACTAAAATTGAAAACCTCAAAACTTCCGAGGACTATATGTAATTTATTCTCAATTATGAAAAAAAGGGGGAGTAATAATCGTATAGGGTCAAAAAGGATCAAGCAGGGTTGGGTAACGTTTTCTCATTAGCTGGGAATATTTCCGGATATTTTACCAACCAATCAGAAACGTTATCAAGATCTGTTTTTCATCTCATTAAATTGTAGAAAGACCTTTACACTTCGGCCTTTTGACTTTTACTCCTCTTTTTTTTTAAATTATACTCATTTTTTCCTGGAAGTTACGATTTATTTAAAGTAAAGAAAAATCTCTATATTCTTGAGAAAATTTCTTTTTCAAAAAAAAAAGACTGAGAATATCTCGAAAAAATTCAAATTCTGGAAGAAAAATTGTTTTACTTTCATTTTTTTTATGACTTAATATGGAAAAAATGTAATCTTATTTTAAAAGAAAATTATTTTTTACATTAATTTGAAAATAATATATACTCTCCTTTTGAATTATATAAATTTTATTCCATCTTTAAAAGCGGAACAATTTTCAAACGAAGTATACACTTTATTTTTTTTATATGAAATTTTTTTTTCCAGAATTAGCAAATTTTTTTGTGATAATATTTCAAAAATACGAATTTTTTTTCTTCTTTTTTTCCATAAATAGCTGCTATATAAGCTTGTAGCACACACACACATACACGACCGACAGTCTTTCTAAACTGTTTGAATAAAAAAAAATTATTGACAATATATCTATATGCATTCACTGTGGTCGGAAAGAGGGAGAACGTCACGCGCGATTTTGTAAAAAAAAATGAAAAAAAAACTACAGAAACACAATTGTAGTGATTATAAACAAAGCTTAGCGATATAGTCAAATTGAGAGGGACAAAAAAAACACATTACCTTCTATATAGTAGAATTTACTTTATAGGCGTGAAATTCGAATTTCTAATCTAGTAAAAAAAAAAAAAAAAAAAAAAAAACTAGTTGGATAAGAGAGATCTAGTCCCCTCTCCTCCCCCAACCCCGCCTTCCTATCTACTTCTCCTAGATTCGCGGGTTTTTATTTTTATCTTACTGCATGTTTGAATTTTTCTTTTTTTTTAGGTTTTATTATAATTATATATAAAAAATAAATTTATTATTCTAAAAAGTCTCTTATAATTCCATTTTCCTTTTATAGAAACAAGTCACTTAAATATCGATGCGAATAATCAAGCAGGCATTGATTTATACGCTACGTATAATAATGTAATTTAGCGACAAGTGCACTATTTAGTTAAAAAGGCAAAGAAAAAAAAAATACCTAAAAAAAAAATAAAAATCTATTCGTAGCAACGCGATCAGACTTGTATTTTATACTTGTATTTCACAGTGAGATTATTTGTCAACTTTGCATTATAAGTAAACACACGATTGTATATTTCATTTAATAGAAGAAACTGTTTCATATATTTTATGTATTTTATTTTCCCCCTCCAATGGCATTTTTTAAAATTATTCATTGTAGAATCAGCCTAAAGGCCTAAGCGGAAGGTAAAGGACAAGGCACAATGGCTTTGTGAATGTGAAGCATGAGTTAGAAAAGGACAGATATAGTTTTTTTGTCCTTTTCTATCTTATATATTTAACGGGTACCTGTTAAAACAAGAGGCCATTTAAACAAAAAGAAAGAAAGAAATGACATTTTATCGGAATTTATTAAATATTTAGTTAGAAAATAAATTTCAAATAAAAGATTTGGGTTAAATAGTATAAAATTAAAAAACTGATAAGAGTTTATAATATTAATTTAAAAATGTATTATATGAAAACTGAACGATATACCCTTTAATAAAATAAAAAAATATTTAAACTACTATTTAACATGATAATTATTAATATTATCACAAATTTTATTATTCAGATTTAATGCACAAAAAAAGTTGCTTTTAAAATATAATTATTTAATAATTTCTTCATATTTATAAAAATTTGTAATCAATAAATATAGCAAATTTTTTGAGGTTAGTTTTCTAGAAAGTAAAATATTTGGGAAAATATCACGATATATGTCACGATGAGTATAATGAAAATGATGATAAAAAAAACGGACGACGGCATTTCATTTGTATATGCCTTTTAAAAATTAAAATCCATGATTTTCGAAAGCGCCGCAGCTGATCATTTTTTTCGAAATAACCTAAAATATACAATTTTATTGCGCTTTAAATATAGTTTTAAAACGCATTAGGCTGAAGAACGTAACGATAAATTTTAATTTTTTTTTGAGTAATTGCAATCGTTAATGTTGAAAACGGAAAATATATTTTTTTTCTTTGTTGAATTTCAACCCTTAGCGCTCCTCAAAAATAATAAAAAAAAATATATATGGACGTTTTCGACACATTTTTCAGTGCTCTTTCAAATGGCACAAAGTAAAAGGGCGAAAGGACGATAAATTTTAATTTTTTGAATAATTGCAATCGTTAATGTTGAATACGGAAAATTTTTTTTTTCTTTGTTGAATTTCAACCATATTCAAATATATTGACGTTTTAGACACATTTTTTAGTGCTCTTTCAAATGGCACAAAGTAAATGGCGATAAATTTTAATTTTTTTGAATAATTGCAATCGTTAATGTTGAAAACGGAAAATATTTTTTTTTCTTTGTTGAGCTTCAACCCTTAGCGCTCCTCAAAAAAAATAAAAAAAAATATATGAACGTTTTCGACACATTTTTCAGTGCTCTTTCAAATGGCACAAAGTAAAAGGACGATAAATTTTAATTTTTTGAATAATTGCAATCGTTAATGTTGAAAACGGAAAATATTTCTTTTTCTTTGTTGAATTTCAACCCTTAGCGCTCCTCAAAAATAAAAAAAAAACAAGTTGTAAATTCAGATGTTCATTACATGAACATTTTGCTTCCTCGTGGAGAAAGCAAAGTCTTATTGCTAAAATGTGAATTTCTGATTTTTTAACTTTCATTAATTCTTTAAATTTACCTCAAATGTATACTTTATATATATCGATCAATTCGTCTTGACGTAAGGAATACGATTTTATTATATATAACCTTACATTTTTCCATTTAAAAATTTTTTCTATTAAAAAAAAATTTTTGGAAAAAAGACGATAAAAATTTTTTTTGAGGTATTTTTAAAAATCCTTTGTTCAGATTTGAGATATTAATATGATAAATGAGCCTACCAAATTTTATCTAAATCCATTAAAACCTGTTAAAGTTATCTTCTAAACAAAAAAGGGATCCACACACACACACATACACACACACATACATACAACCGGACAATTGATCAGAATCTCATATAACATGTTTCTATAAAGAAAAAAATTTGTTTTCGCCACTTTGAAAAGTTTTATAAATGAAAAAACTACAAAGTTTCCTCCACGAGGAAGCAAAAATAGTCAAAAAGTTTCGAACAAAAAATGTATAGCGCACTTTTTGATTGGTCCAGCAGATACTGAGCTACACTCAAAAATATTTTGGAAAAATTTTCGAAAAACTTAATTCGCGAGATAATCGTTCAGGAATACCTCCAATAAAATAGGGAAAAAGTTTCGAACAAAAAATGTATGGCGCACTTTTTGATTGGTCCAGCGGATGCTGAGCTACGCTCAGATAAATTTTTTAAAAAATTTTGAAAAATTAAATTTGCGAGATAATTAATCGAGAATACCGCCAAAGTCTTAACCCGGGAGTCTCGAACAAAAAATGTATGGCGCACTTTTTGATTGGTCCAGCGGATGCTGAGCTACACTCAGATAAATTTTGGAAAAATTTTCGAAAAATTAAATTCGCGAGATAATCGTTCGGGAATACCGCCATAGTGATTAGAAGAAAGTTCTGAACAAAAAATGTATAGCGCACTTTTTGATTGGTCCAGCGGATGCTGAGCTACACTCCAAAATATTTTGGAAAAATTTTCGAAAAATTAAATTCGCGAGATAATCGTTCGGGAATACCGCCAAATTCTTTAGCAAAAAGTAGCGAACAAAAAATGTATGGCGTACTTTTTGATTGGTCCAGCGGATGCTGAGCTAAACTAGAAAACAAATTCGGAAAAATTTCCGAAAAACTTAATTCGCGAGATAATCGTTCAGGAATACCGCCATAGTGATTAGAAGAAAGTTCTGAACAAAAAATGTATGGCGCACTTTTTGATTGGTCCAGCGGATGCTGAGCTACACTCAGATAAATTTTGGAAAAATTTTCGAAAAATTAAATTCGCGAGATAATCGTTCGGGAATACCGCCATAGTGATTAGAAGAAAGTTCTGAACAAAAAATGTATAGCGCACTTTTTGATTGGTCCAGCGGATGCTGAGCTACACTCCAAAATATTTTGGAAAAATTTTCGAAAAATTAAATTCGCGAGATAATCGTTCGGGAATACCGCCAAATTCTTTAGCAAAAAGTAGCGAACAAAAAATGTATGGCGTACTTTTTGATTGGTCCAGCGGATGCTGAGCTAAACTAGAAAACAAATTCGGAAAAATTTCCGAAAAACTTAATTCGCGAGATAATCGTTCAGGAATACCGCCATAGTGATTAGAAGAAAATTCTGAACAAAAAATGTATGGCGCACTTTTTGATTGGTCCAGCGGATGCTGAGCTACGCTCAGATAAATTTTTTAAAAAATTTTGAAAAATTAAATTTGCGAGATAATTAATCGAGAATACCGCCAAAGTCTTAACCCGGGAGTCTCGAACAAAAAATGTATGGCGCACTTTTTGATTGGTCCAGCGGATGCTGAGCTACACTCAGATAAATTTTGGAAAAATTTTCGAAAAATTAAATTCGCGAGATAATCGTTCGGGAATACCGCCAAATTCTTTAGCAAAAAGTAGCGAACAAAAAATGTATGGCGCACTTTTTGATTGGTCCAGCGGATGCTGAGCTACACTCAAAAATAATTTGGAAAAATTTTCAAAAAATTAAATTCGCTAGATAATCTTTCGGGAATACCGCCATAGTGATTAGAAGAAAGTTCTGAACAAAAAATGTATGGCGCACTTTTTGATTGGTCCAACGGATGCTGAGCTACACTCAGATAAATTTTTTAAAAAATTTTGAAAAATTAAATTTGCGAGATAATTAATCGGGAATACCGCCAAAGTCTTAACCCGGGAGTCTCGAACAAAAAATGTATTGCGCACTTTTTGATTGGTCCAGCGGATACTGAGCTACACTCAAAAATATTTTGGAAAAATTTTCGAAAAACTTAATTCGCGAGATAATCGTTCAGGAATACCTCCAATAAAATAGGGAAAAAGTTTCGAACAAAAAATGTATGGCGCACTTTTTGATTGGTCCAGCGGATGCTGAGCTACGCTCAAAAATATTTTGGAAAAATTTTCGAAAAATTAAATTCGCGAGATAATCGCTCCCGAATACCACCAATAAAATAGGGAAAAAGTTTCGAACAAAAAATGTATGGCGGACTTTTTGATTGGTCCAGCGGAGGCTGAGCTACACTCAGATAAATTTTTTAAAAAATTTTGAAAAATTAAATTTGCGAGATAATTAATCGAGAATACCGCCAAAGTCTTAACCCGGGAGTCTCGAACAAAAAATGTATGGCGCACTTTTTGATTGGTCCAGCGGATGCTGAGCTACACTCAGATAAATTTTGGAAAAATTTTCGAAAAATTAAATTCGCGAGATAATCGTTCGGGAATACCGCCAAATTCTTTAGCAAAAAGTAGCGAACAAAAAATGTATGGCGCACTTTTTGATTGGTCCAGCGGATGCTGAGCTACACTCAGATAAATTTTTTAAAAAATTTTGAAAAATTAAATTTGCGAGATAATTAATCGGGAATAACGCCAAAGTCTTAACCCGGGAGTCTCGAACAAAAAATGTATTGCGCACTTTTTGATTGGTCCAGCGGATGCTGAGCTACACTCAGATAAATTTTTTAAAAAATTTTGAAAAATTAAATTTGCGAGATAATTAATCGGGAATAACGCCAAAGTCTTAACCCGGGAGTCTCGAACAAAAAATGTATTGCGCACTTTTTGATTGGTCCAGCGGATGCTGAGCTACACTCAGATAAATTTTTTAAAAAATTTTGAAAAATTAAATTCGCGAGATAATTAATCGAGAATACCGCCAAAGACTTAACCCGGGAGTCTCGAACAAAAAATGTATGGCGCACTTTTTGATTGGTCCAGCGGATGCTGAGCTACACTCAGATAAATTTTGGAAAAATTTTCGAAAAATTAAATTTGCGAGATAATCGTTCGGGAATACCGCCAAATTCTTTAGCAAAAAGTAGCGAACAAAAAATGTATTGCGCACTTTTTGATTGGTCCAGCGGATGCTGAGCTACACTCCAAAATATTTTGGAAAAATTTTCGAAAAATTAAATTCGCGAGATAATCGTTCGGGAATACCGCCAAATTCTTTAGCAAAAAGTAGCGAACAAAAAATGTATGGCGCACTTTTTGATTGGTCCAGCGGATGCTGAGCTACACTCAGATAAATTTTTTAAAAAATTTTGAAAAATTAAATTTGCGAGATAATTAATCGGGAATAACGCCAAAGTCTTAACCCGGGAGTCTCGAACAAAAAATGTATTTCGCACTTTTTGATTGGTCCAGCGGATGCTGAGCTACACTCAGATAAATTTTTTAAAAAATTTTGAAAAATTAAATTTGCGAGATAATTAATCGGGAATACCGCCAAAGTCTTAACCCGGGAGTCTCGAACAAAAAATGTATGGCGCACTTTTTGATTGGTCCAGCGGATGCTGAGCTACACTCAGATAAATTTTTTAAAAAATTTTGAAAAATTAAATTCGCGAGATAATTAATCGAGAATACCGCCAAAGACTTAACCCGGGAGTCTCGAACAAAAAATGTATGGCGCACTTTTTGATTGGTCCAGCGGATGCTGAGCTACACTCAGATAAATTTTGGAAAAATTTTCGAAAAATTAAATTTGCGAGATAATCGTTCGGGAATACCGCCAAATTCTTTAGCAAAAAGTAGCGAACAAAAAATGTATTGCGCACTTTTTGATTGGTCCAGCGGATGCTGAGCTACACTCAAAAATATTTTTGAAAAATTTTCGAAAAATTAAATTCGCGAGATAATCGTTCGGGAATACCGCCAAATTCTTTAGCAAAAAGTAGCGAACAAAAAATGTATGGCGTACTTTTTGATTGGTCTAGCGGATGCTGAGCTAAACTAGAAAACAAATTCGGAAAAATTTCCGAAAAACTTAATTCGCGAGATAATCGTTCAGGAATACCGCCATAGTGATTAGAAGAAAGTTCTGAACAAAAAATGTATGGCGCACTTTTTGATTGGTCCAGCGGATGCTGAGCTACACTCAAAAATATTTTGGAAAAATTTTCGAAAAATTAAATTCGCGAGATAATCGTTCGGGAATACCGCCAAAAAAAATTTTTGGAAAAAAGACGATAAAATTTTTTTGTTTGGCATTTTTCAAAATCCTTTGGTCAGATTTGAGATATTAATATGATAAATGAGCCTACCCAGATCCGAGTAGAGGAAGACCATTTTTACCACCAAAAACGCATCCAAAAGCATAAAAAACTTACCAAAAAGTTGTAAATTCAGATGTTCATTACATGAACATTTTGCTTCCTCTGTACGATCAGCAAAAAAATTTGCTTCCTCGTGGAGAAAGCAAAATTTTATTGACAAAGTGTGAATTTTTGATTTTTTAACTTTCTTTAATTCTTTAAATTTACCTCAAATGAATACTTTATATATATCGATCGATTCGTCTTGACGTAAAGAATACGATTTTATTATATATAACATTAAATTTTTCTATTTAAAAATTTTTTCGATTAAAAAAAAATTTTTGAAAAAAAGACCATAAAATTTTTTTTTTGGAGTATTTTTCAAAATCCTTTGGTCAGATTTGAGGTATTAATATGATAAATGAGCCTACTAAATTTTATATAAATCCATTAAAACCTGTTAAAGTTATCTTCTAAACAAAAAAGGGATCCACACACACACACACACATACATACATCCGGACAATTGATCAGGATCTCATATAACATGTTTCTATAAAGAAAAAAATTTGTTTCCGCCACTTTGAAAAGTTTTATAAACGAAAGGACTACAAAGCTTCCTCCACGAGGAAGCAAAATATATGGACGTTTTCGACACATTTTTTAGTGTTTTTCAAATGGCACAAAATAAAAGGGCGATAAATGTTAATTTTTTGAATAATTGCAATCGTTAATGTTGAAAACGGAAAACATTTTTTTCTTTGTATTAAAATGCATTATGTTCCCTATATTATTATCAAAATCACTTAAATTTGCTTTCAATATTTACTACTTATGTGTTTGATGTATAATTTTCATTATTTTTATTGAATAGAATGCATAATTATGAATTTTGTTTTCGTTAAACTTTTTTAACGCTACATTCTTCAGCCTAATATTTTCTATGAATAACTTTAATAACTTTGATTATTTTAATTAAATATCACTCTCTACTTGCCCCCAGGACCAACAACGTGGACGTGGTAATATCCCAGTAAAAAAAAGTTAGATAGCACGATACGGTATTCCATATATAGCAGTGCAGTAACTTGAATATGGAATTTGACTTTTTTCAAATATAGAACCGTTTGGTAATGAAATTATAAGAAGGTCCTATATGGATAATTTTTATGGCTGATTTAGATAAGAAATACCAATTAAAAGGATTTTTGGCTAATACAAATTCAAAATGTGTGTTTTTGAAAAATTTTTTCACGAAGCATAAAAGTTGAATACAGCCTTCCTAAGCTGCAAAAACTTGGTTTTTGATGTGCGACAAATTTTAATTTTTTTTTTGAGTATTTGCAATCGTTAATGTTGAAAACGGAAAATATTTTTTGTTTTTTTTTTTTGAATTTTAACCCTTAGCGCTCCTCAAAAATAATAAAAAAAAAAATATATGGACGTTTTTTAAATTCATAAAAATTTAAAATTTCATTTTTTTTGGCAAAAGCAATATATGTATTATTTTCCAATTGTAATTATTGTAAAACTACACAAACATGAAGATTAAAAGTTACAGTGAATGTGTATATATATATATATAAATATATGTCTTATATAAAATAGAAAAAACAATTTATAAATTTTTTTTTCTTCATTCCATAAAAGAACTACTATTCTAAATTTACATAATAATTCTATAAGCGTGAAATTAGAAACAGTTGCATATTCAAGCAAGTGAAAAATAAAACCCATTGAAATATTTTCTACAAAAACTTTCTTTTTTTGAAGATAAAACAAAAAATATATCTTTTTATTTTCTTCAAAATAAAAGTTGTATTTTATCTTTAACTTAATTTTATTATTTTAATTAAATTTCGTAATTAGTAATTAAAATTTTGTAGTTATTTTTTTTTTTTTTTGTACTTTTACCTGTGAAATAGCCGATTTTAAATTTTATCAAGCATCCATGAAAGGTTTTGAATTTAAACTTGCTCTTGAAACTTAAATCGAAGCTTAAATTATACGTTATTATCACAAGTGGAAAGAAAATTATTTTTTTTGTTTTCTTTATACACTATTTATACAAAATTTGTCAGTGCAATTTTTTTTTTACCCATCTTTTGCACTTGTTTTTTTTTTCTATTCGCGACGTAAATTCTCGAGACGTGCTTGTAAATCGGCATCGGCGTCCGCGAGACTTCCGCCATCATCGGCACCTGCAGCCGCAGCAACTGCAGGTTGCTTCGAACCAGCGATGCCCAATGATCCGGAAGCTTGCGGTAAACCAGAGAGTTGATCGGTTAATTGTAGGCCAAGCTCGTCGAGAACTTGTGACACAACAGCGTCACTAAAATAAAAAAGAACAAAAATTATTTCAGGAAAAATTTTTTTAAAAAAAGTTCCTTTTTGTTCCAAGACGAATTTTTCTTCTTTTTGAATTAAATTTCTTCTCTTTCAATTCTCTTTTTTTAAATTAGAAATTTTTTGATTTAAAATTAATTTTCAAAAATAATTTTAATTTAAAATTCTTACCTTTCTTCCTCATCGTCCTCGTTCTCCATCGCATCGTCTATTGCGTCATTCATTATTTCCTCCTTCATGTCCATTATTTCTGATTGTTTTTCAAAATCTTGAAGAATTTTTTGAATTTGCGGTAGATTTAGTTGTCTGAAATAGTTTTTTTTATCCTTATTATTATAAATACTCCAATATTTAAAAAAAAAACTATTAAAACATTTTTTTAATTCTTTTTATATTTTCGATTAATTTTTTTAGCAAAATACAAAAAAAAATTGGAAAAAAATTTTAATCGAATTTTAAAGAAAATTGAAATTTTCTTATTTAACATTTAATTAACCTGTTCATATTTTGCATTGCTCTTGTGACTCCCTTCATCGCTTGAGCCATTGTATTTTGTGAACGTAGAGTTTGAATTTTTAGTGAAACTGCTTGAATGTTTGCCTTCATTAACATAAATTTTTTAACATAACGTCTCGTTCTTACAAGATCTTTTGCCATTATTTTCACTGCGTCCTAAAAACAAAAAAGAAATTCAAATTCTTTTAGCGAAAAAAAATTGTTTAAGTAAATTAAATAAAAGGAAATAAAATTTAAAAAAAGAAAAAAAAATATTTAAAAAACAAATTGGAAAAAAAATTAAAATTTATTATTACAAAATATAAATTAATAACTTTTTTTTTTTTTTTTATTAAAAAAATAAATTAATTAAATTAAATTTTATACAATTTTTCAATTGAAAATTAATTTTTTATAAATTAGAAAAAAACGGTAGAAAATTAAAATTAATAAGAAAATAAAAAAAAGAGAAAGGAAAACTATATTTCGAAAAAAATAAATACGAAAAATTTGAAATTGGTATTTTTTCTTTTTTTATTCAAGAAAAAGACGTACCATTTGTCCCTCTTTTGCAAGCTTTTTTATATCAGCAATTATTTTTTTCTCCTGCTGTTCCATTCGCATTTTTTCTCTATCCAAATCTCGCATTGCTCTATTTAATGCTCTTTGATTTTTTCTCAACATTTCTTCCGGTGTTACTCGTTTTCCAAATAACCACTCCATTTTTATTTATTTTCTTTCTATTCTTGAAAGAGAAGAGGAAAAAAAAAATTCACGATTTAATATTAAATTATTTTTTTAAAAAAATATTTTTTTAGTAACATTTAAAAAAAAACAAAAAAACTTATTATTCATTAAAATTGCTCAAAAAATGGTTTTTGAAAACTTAATTAATTATAGAAGTTATTAATTAATTAATTATTAAAATTATTATTTATTAATTAATTATTACAATTATTATTTATTATTAATTAATTATTACAATTATTATTTATTATTAATTAATTATTACAATTAATAATTACAATGTAAATAACTAAAACAAATTTATAAACAATTAAAATATTATTAATATTAAAAATTAATAATTCAACATTATTAATAATTATTGCTTATTATTGAAATTATAATATATTTCATTATTATAATTATTTCTGTTCATTTTTTTTTTTAAATTTCACTTAATTCAGTAAATTTTTTTTTAAAAAATGTACTCAACAATTATTACATTTTTTTAATTTACTAATAAATTATAAATAATTAAGAATTATTAAGAAATTTGCCCAATTTGTTATAAATTTATTCAATAAGAAACAAATCGTTAAAAAATAATTACAAAATCGATAAGAAAAAAAAATAAAATTTTTTGAGGTTAGGTACGTATAAAATATTTCGCCATATATTGGAACATTTTTTGATATATAGAATATATTTTCCAATCAAAAAAAAGAAAAATGATAATTATGCAATAATATTTAAAAACCTTAATAAAACCAAAACCAAAAAATAATTGATTGACAAATGTAAACAAAAACAAAAATTACGAAAAAAAAAAAATGACAAAAAACTGAAATTGAGAAATCATGAATTATTTTTTTTCCGATAAATCACGTATCAATTTTTTTTTTTTTTTGTAAAAAGAAAGTATATAAGAGATAATTATCATTTTGACAGTGAGTCATCTTTGTTAATATAAATTAAAGGCCAAGAACTTGGAAATTATTATTATTAAGTAACAAGAGTCAATTTCCTACCTTTTTTTTTTTAATAACAAGTTTTCCAATATACACTTTTCACGTAATCAACCTTTTTTATTTCTATTTATTTTTATTTCACAAAATCACGATCACTGAAAATAATTTTTATAGTTTGTAAAAAAAAAAACAGTGTCACATATTTGTCTCATGAATAATAAAAAATACAAGAGATACACAACCTATCTGCAGTAATATTTGTAACATTACACTTTATTTAATTGGTGGATATATTTCCAAATTTCAATGAAACCCGCCATTATTATTTAAATTTCATTGGCGGATCCAAAAGACTTAAACTAAAGAACGTCACCGATTGGCTGTTACTTTACAATACTACTCGACATCTAGCGAGAATTTCTCGAACTATTTTATCCATTGTCAATAACTGTCAAACTGTGTATATTGTTTTTTTTTTTAAACGTTAAATTTTACCTGACATTTTTGTGGTCCAGTTGTAATTATTTTTTTGATAAATACAAGTTATTGTTCAAATAGAAACTTGTTGATTTTTTCACGCTCTTTATATATACATTTTTGTTTGCGAATTTAATGTGTGTATAGTTGAATAGTCATTTATAATGATTGCTGAAAAATAAGAATTTACATTGTTCTCTCTTTTTTTTTTCCCCCCTGCAGTAAATAATGAGTGAAAAAAGAAAAAGCAGTGATAGTCCACAATCAACAAAATCCAGATTTAAATTAAAAAGTAAAAAACGATCATCGAGTACTGAGGGTATGTATATGTAATATTTTTGGCGGTTTCTTATTTTGAGGTTATGATTTTGTATTATGTGACAATTTTTTTTTTTCGTAAATAATCTTAATTTTTATTTTTTGTATATGAATAATTTGAGTAAATTAATAATTTTTATTTCTTTTTGGTTTATAAAAGTGATTATTTTCTAATTTACGAGCTTTTCACGCTTTTTACGAATTTTACGAATTCACATTGTTTTTTGGTTTTTTGATTTGTAAAAGCATCGTAAATAGTTGCTTTTTTTGCTTTATAATAAAAATTTTAACTTTTAATAATCCTAAAAATTTACATAAATAATTTATTAAATTTCCTAAAATGTAGTTGTTTAAAAAAATTTATTAAAATTTAATTTATTTTTCTTTATTTTCTTTTGTTGGTTATCTAGATATTTTTTATTTATTTATTTTTTCTCCTGACGATTTTTGTTAATTAAATTTTATTTTTTTTTAATTGATCTTTTTGGTAATTTACAATATTTTATTTATTTTTTAAATTGTTTTTATAAAATTATATTATTTTTTTTCGTTATTTGTTTTTTTTCGTTAATATTTATTTTTTGTGAATTTTTTTCTGCTTTTTTTTATCGAATTTTATTACATTTTAATAATTAATAATAATATTTTAATAATAATTAATAATAATATTTTAGTAAAAAAATTTTAATAATATTTTAGTAGAAATATTTTAATAATATTTTAGTAAAAAATATTTTAATAATTTTTTAAGAATATTTTAGTAAAAATATTTTAATAATATTTTAATAATATTTTAATAATATTTTAATAATATTTTAGTAGAAATATTTTAATAATATTTTAGTAAAAATATTTTAATAATTTTTTAAGAATATTTTAGTAAAAATATTTTAATAATATTATAATAATATTTTAATAATATTTTAGTAGAAATATTTTAATAATATTTTAGTAAAAATATTTTAATAATTTTTGAAGAATATTTTAGTAAAAATATTTTAATAATATTTTAGTAGAAATATTTTAATAATATTTTAATAATATTTTAGTAAAAATATTTTAATAATAAAATTCAAAAATGTATATTATTTAATTGGTTATTAATATATTTAATAACTGAAATTAATAATTTTCACTAATTAATTTAGTTTAGTAATTTTTTAATTTGTCAATTTATTTACTAATTGAGTTTATTAAGTTTATTTAGTTAATGGAATTAATTTCAATTAATTAAATTAATTATAATAATTTTAAATAAACGATTGAATAAAAAAATATTATTTAAAAAAAATGTTAATCAATTTTTTTTTTCTTTGCACTAATTTTAGAAAATACATTTGATAATGGAGATACTACACCAAAGCGTTATAATGCACACAGTACTCCAATTAGAAATTCAAATATTCTCAGTACTCAGGAAGATTCACCTGAAATGTGCCAACGAGCTAGTCCAATTTCCAATACACAAAAAAATGAAGTATGTTGGAGTTGGCATAGCCAAAAAGGTAAATTTATTAAAAATTTTACATTTTTTAATTTCTAAGATTTAATTTTGAAAAATGATTAAAAAAAATGTTATTTCTTTTATTATTCAATTTATTTTCCAAAATTTGCTTTTTTTTCTATTTTATTCATTAATAATTAAAAGAATGTAAATTAAATTAAAAATAAGTTTAGAAAAAAAATTCAATTAAAAATTTAAAATAAAATCACAAATTATAATTTATAATTATTAATGAAAAAATATTCCTTTTTTTTGTGAAAAAAAAGAAATATAATCTTTTTTTTTTCTCTCTCTCTTTTATAGATGAATTATCAACAAAAAATGATCTCAAAACACCAAAAAGATCATTAAAATTACAAAAACGACGAATGCCAGATTCACCAAAAATGTTTACATTAACAAATAAAATTCGCGTTAAAACAAAAGGTTCAAATTTAAATCAAGCTGAATTTCGTGCAAATTTCGAAGAATTTCGTGCGATTTTAACAAATCGACAACAACAACAAAAACAAGAAGAAATAATAACCGATAATAAACCATCAACATCATCAACAACAACTTTAATTGATTCAATATCATCAAAAATTGAAAATATTGACAATAATAAAGAACAAATTATTGACAATGAACAAATTGAAATAAAAAATAAAAGTGAATTAAAACTTGTCTATTCAGATGATTATGATCTTGATGAATCACTTGTACGTTGTAGTCAATTATGTGAAGAGGAATTTTTTGCAAAAATTACTAATGAAGAAAAAATTGTCAATAGTTCAACGCCATTAATAAAAATAAAAAATAAAGGTTCACACATTCATAATAGTCCAATATCAGGACTTGAGAATTTAATAAAAATTCCCATTGAAACGCCACCATGTAAATTAATAAATAATAAATTAACAACAATCGCTGACGATTCATTCGATGAATATTTATCACAATTAAAAGATGAGGATTTAACAAATATTAAAAATAGTCCAATATCATCACGTTCAGCGTCTAAAAAATCATTATTCACCAATAATAATTTAGAAAATAAAAAATTAATAACAGTAAAATCATGTTCAATTTTAGATGATAAAATACAACAAAATACAAATGACAATAGATTTATGCAAAAAACAAAAAGTTTTGATTCACAATCAAAAATTTATACCAAACAACAAACAAATATAATGGAAATCAATAAATTTGTACCTAAAACAAAAAGTTTTGATATACAAACAAAAATTTATCCAAGTACAAGTAAAATTTTATTTCAAGAAAAAATTTTAAAACAACAACAACAACCACCATTACCACCAATTGAATCATCGCCGAGGAAATTTTTTAAAACAAAATGTAATTCAGAACCATTGGCAAAAAGTCCTAAATTATCAACAATTCCTATCAAGAATTATCCTGATGTTCCAATTTCCAATGTATCAACTAATAATGATACAAAAATAACTGGTAAGTCATTTCAATGCAAGATTTATTCTGACTCATGTTTCAGTCAAAATAATACAACAAGTAGCGGTTTTATTAGTAATGGCAGTAATAATAGCAGTAGCAGCAGCGGCGGCAGCAATAACAACTATAAAATTAATTCATCATCTGAAAATCGTCCAATTAATCAAATCAACAATAATAACAATATTAATAATGTTAGTAATAATTTTCCAAATATCACACTCTCTACACACAGATCCATGGATGAACTTCATATTCAATCGAAAAAAGTTTCTCAAGTTACTCTCTTCACAGCGGAACAAATTGAAAAAAAACGTCTTGAAGCAAAAATGAAATTGGCAGCAAAACGACAAATAATAAATTCAAAACATCCATCATCAACAACGACGACGACGACAACGACAACAACAAGAATTTTGCCATTGGCATCGTCAGTCAAAAGATGAAGTGTTTAAAACAATTTTTTTGTGTCCAAAAAAAAAAACAAATTTTATTTTTTTATACAACATGTCACAAAGTACATTTCGTGTTCAATGTTGAAGTGCGTTAATTTTTTTTTTCTAATTTGTGAAAAGTTTATTTTGAAAAAGAAAAAAAAACATGTGAAGAAAAAAAATTGAAGTTAAATATGTATGTATATATATATATATAAAAAGAAGAAAATATTGCTCAAGTTTGATCAGTGATTTTTTCATGAGAAAAGAAAGAAAACTAATTTTTTTTTTTGAGGAAATTGGAAAGAAAAGGTGAGAAAAGAAAAAGAAATGATTTTTTTTATATTATCTACTTTATCGACAGTTGTTAAAAGCAGAATGAACTGTTTTAACGACTGTGAAAACATTTTTTCGAGGTTTTTTTTTATCAACTGCTGATAAAACAGTTTAAATTGTTTTTATCATCTGATAATATAGTTATCAACCGATAAATTAGATTGCTTCGCATTTATTAACAAATTGATGAAAAAAATATTTATTTACAATGAAAATTGATTTGATATAAAATTTAAAAAGAGTGGATTTATATTTTATCAATAGCAGGTAATTTGTTTTTTTTTCATCAACTAAAGAAAGTAGATTAAACTGATTTATTAACTGTCGATAAAGTAGATTAACCTATTTAATCAACAGTCGGTAAAGTAAATTAAACTATTTTATCGCAGTCACGAATTTTTTTTTTTGAAAATAGAAACAAGAAGTCAAGAAAGAATTAATAATTTATAAAATAAAAGTGAATCTACCTTATCGACAGTCGTTAATAGCAGAACGAACTGTTTTATCGACATCTGTAGAAATATGTTTTCGGGTATTTTTAGAACTGATGATGAAACAGTGTTAATTTTTTATTTGTATCAACAGCTGGTATTATAAACCTGTTTTATTAGCAGTCGATAAAGTAGATTAAACTGTTTTACCAACAGTCGATAAAGTAAATTAAACTATTTTTTTCCTATTTATAATAGCAATGCCTTATTCGAATTGTACAAAAATTTATTTACGATAAATAATTGTTTCAATAAATATAAAAATAAACTGTTCTATCAACAGCAGGTAAAATAGATGAAACTGTTTTATCAACAGTCGATAAAGTAGATTGAACTGCTTTTTCGCATCTCGGTAACAATTGTATAAAAGAAAATAGAACCTTTTTTTAAATTGCATTTAAACCCTATATCAGTTTTTATCGACAGTCGGTAAATTAGAATTCTCTATATGAAAATTACAAAATTGCTTCATTTATCGGTTAAAAGGAAAATTATTATTATTATTATTATTATTATTATTATTATTAATTTTCAGTACAAGTTAAGTTTATCGACTATCGATAAAATCATTTGCACTGTCGGTAAAATAGTTTTGACATTCGAATAAACATTATGTTCATTTCTAATTCATTTCTAACATTTTTTTTTTTACTTTAATTTTCCATTAAAAAAGAAAATTAGAAAATCGGATTTTCCGGTTAAAATAAAATATTTCGTTTGAATGAAATTTTACTGATTCAAAAATGAAGGGGAAAAAAATAGTAGGATTTTTTTTTTGTTGAATTTAGAAACACTATAAGTAACGGATTTTAGAAATTTGTCGTTTATAGTAAAATAAGAATAAAAAAAAAAAAAAAATTATTGAAAATTTGTTAATATTTTGTATAATTGTACTGTTAATTGTATTTTTGTCAATTATCTATAAATATTAGGAAAAAAAAAACAATGTATAACTCTTATTTTGCTAAATAATAATTCCGGAATATGTCACTCGTCAATGAATTTTGAAAATGAAATTAAAATAATATGAAGATAAAAAAAAAAAAAAAAAAAAAATAAGAACCAGTTAAAACCAGTTGAAAAAATAACTCACTGTGAATTAGAATAAGTTCTTGTCGATTCGAGAAATAACAATATATTTTTTAGTGTATAAACAATTCATATATATATATTGCCTAATAATAATAAAAAAAATAACGGCTGTGCCATGACGTCATAACAAATCGATGTTTTTAATTGTTTGTATACTTTCATTTGTTTAATTAAAAAAAAATTTGAAAAAAATTTTTTTTTTTTATTTTAGATTAATAAAAAAAAAGCAATTTTTTTCTTATATAAAATCTTTTCTTTCTATCTAGGTCAGAGAAGGATGCTTTGTTTCATATAGGTATATATATATATACTATATTGAAGTATAAGAGTTTTAGAGGAGAATTTCCTACTTTTTCAAGTGCCTTTGAAATTCTGTATTTACTTAATGAACTTAATCAAGTAAAAGTTAATCAAACTTTAATGTAAGTAGACTTTCGTTTTTTTTCTTTTTTTTTCGCCAGTGACGTCTCATCTACCCTTTGGGGGGAGGGGGGGGGGTTGATCGTAACGAAACCCAACTAAACAATGAAGATGTCGGAAGTGTTTTCAAATTGGGAAAGAATCTACTATGACGTATTACTGAGGGGGTAAGAAAATTCTAAATATAGAATACAAGACATTTGTTATTTGAGTTTCCTTTTCGTCTAAGTATAATATATATATATTTATTGTATTCAGCTTTCTCAAAAATTCCCAAGTGACAAGTTTTAAACGAAATGCATCAAATTAAAAAAATTTTTAGTCATATGAGATTTTATTGAAAATAGCCATTTTGAATTCTTTAAATCTGATAACAGATTCGAATTCAGCGACCACAAAAACCCCCCGATTAACGAATTTTGGGCGAATATAATCAATTTTTAAAATTTCGGTCGCCATATTGGACCCGCCATTTTGTTTTTTTAAATATGCCACTCAGATTTCAAAAGTATATTCCTTGAACTAAAATTTAAGTCATTAAACAGCCAATTCCTGTTACTTTCCACTTTAATGCTTAATTTTTTTAAAAAACTTGAAAGTATAAAAAATTTTAAGGTCATGATCTATGACCTTGAATTTTGTATATTTATCATCATTTTTCCTATTTTACCATCAGTCGGTAATGTAGATTTCTATGTCGGTAATTTTTTATATAAACATTTGCCTGTTTGACCATCAAGCGGTAATGTAAATTTCTATGTTGGTAATTTTTTTACATCATCATTTTTCCTGTTTGGCCATCAGTCGGTAATGTAGATTTCTATGTCGGTAATTTTTTATATAATCATTTGCCTGTTTGACAATCAATCGGTAATATAAATTTCTATGTTGGTAATTTTTTTATATCATCATTTTTCCTGTTAGACCATAAGTCGGTAATGTAGATTTCTATGTCGGTAAATTTTTTTATATAATCATTTTCCTGTTTGGCCATCAGTCGGTAATGTAGATTTCTATGTCGGTAATTTTTTATATAAACATTTGCCTATTTGACCATCAGTCGGTAATGTAAATTTCTATGTTGGTAATTTTTTTACATCATCATTTTTCCTGTTTGGCCATCAGTCGGTTATGTAGATTTCTATGTCGGTAAAATTTTTAATATAATCATTTTCCTTGTTGGCCATCAGTCGGTAATGTAGATTTCTATGTCGGTAAATTTTTTTATATTATCATATTTCTGTTTTACCATCAGTCGGTAATTTAGATTTAATATTATTTTAAAAAAATAATACATTTTACATAGTATTAATTGAAAATAAAAAATTAATATCCAATAGCAATAATACGTGTATAATGTTATTATTAATTTTTTTTTATATAACTTAACAATATTTGAAAAAAAAAATTTTTTTTTGAAAAAAAAAATATTATGAAAAATTATTTTTTCTCATAAAAATTTTTCTTATTATAAAAATATTTTATATATAAAAAAATTATATATATAAAGAAGCTAGTACTGAAAATGTAAGATTAAATTAAATTGTCAAACAGAATAAAGTACTAATGCGTGTAAATTAAATTAATCAAATATATATATTAGTGAGTCCGTTGAAATGTGAAAATTCAATTGAAACAGTAAAAGAAAAAAAACAGAAACAAAAAATAAAAAAAAAAGATAAGAGAAAGTTTAGCATAACTCAGACAAGTTTGTGCTGGGTTAAGATTTTTCTTTTTTTTTACTCTCAATCTATATATATATATATATATATATATATAAAAGAAAATCAAGGGGAGAAAATGGCTCACCGTTTATTTTATATTTCTTCTTCTTTTTTTTCGTATTTTATATATATATAAAGAAGCTGAAATTTCCTCACATTTATTCCTAATAAGTATTTATAATAATTCTACATTTTTATTCTATTAAACGTATAATATAAAAGTATAAAATAATTAAATTATCTTTTATTTGTATTTGTATTATTTTTCTGAGAATGAAAAAAAAAAAAAATGAATGAACAGAAAAATTCTTCCACATGGAAAAATACAATATTTAATACGATTAAAATATAATGAACCTTTTTTTTAGTACATATTAAATTTTATCATTAGGATAAATAATCTAATTTATGCATAGGTAAATATGTATTTAAAATTTTTTAAAAATTATTATAGCAAAGTTGATAATTGAATTGGCTTTTATTTACAATAGTACAATGTACGCGTTTTAATTTTGATTTTATAAAAAAAAAAAATTATTATTATTTTTGCTATTATTTTTATTTTTTAAAATTAATTTTATTATTATTATTATTATATTATTGAATCATTTACATAAATTACATGCACATATGTATGTCTGACCAAATGTTGATTGTTACTACTTACGGACGAGAAAACTCGGCTTTACTACTTACTGCTATCTTATTTACTTCTTATAATTAGTACATCTTAGTAGAATATAAAAAGTACTTTTCTTCCTTTTTGACATTTTTTTTTTTTTTTTTTTTTTTTTTTGCAAATTGAATTTGAGCATCACAAAGACAAATGAGAATGATTGGAAAAAAGAAGTTAATTTTAGTATAACGTTTTATAAAAAGAATTTTCTTCTCTCTATCCGACATAAAAATTCCTTTCAGGTAGGATCTCATTTTCAAGAGTAACACATCTCAAAGAAAAGAAAAAAATTTCTTTTATTCATAAAAAAGAAAGAAACAAAACTCTCGATATTTTTTTCTTTATATTAATTTAAAATATATTTATTTATATAATTATTATAATATTATATATTATATTATATTTTTGAAAATAATTTTCACAATCAAATTTTTATTTAAATTCAAAGAGAAAATTTTAATTAAAGTTTATTTGATTTAAAGAAATAGTTGCATTGATTGAAACAAATCTTTATCAGTACCATATATATATATATATATATATATATATATTGAGCAGTTGGTATTGCCCAAGGAGTAGAGAATTTTTATCTTCTTTTTTTTCTGCTAATGAGTGAAAATCAATAATGTATCAGTTTGCGATTTGGAAAATGAAAAGAATAAACAATGGACATTTATCATTTATTTGACCGTGTACAACGCTTTGGAAGGTTATGCAATCTGTTCAATCGCTCTCCTTTAGAGTATGAGCCAATATATATATATATATATATATATTCAACAATAGTCGTTGGCGCCTATTCCTTTCCGTCGAATCAATAGGTAGTGTGACGTCACGCGTCGACGCACGATAACGACGCCGCCGCCGTAAACCACGTGACTCATCTGCCCGCATGAAAACTGTGTTAACGTTTTTTTTTTCCCCCTCCCTTCTTTATATGTGAGTATGAAGAAAAAAAAATGTGTACACACATACAGTCACACACATTTCCTATCTTTCATTCAATAAAATTCTATATGAAAACAAAAAAAAAATTGACACTATTTATCTTTCTATAAATATATATATATATATATATATATATATATATAGAATCGAATATATTTTTAATCATTCATATATTTTTCAGCAGTGAGACACAAATAAATTTTAGAAAAAAAAAATTATTTCTTAATTTATAGGACGAGATCATTTTTTTTTTTAAATATTTATTCCAACTTTTTGAATTTTGAAAAACTGACCTCAGATTCGTTATCAGCGATCCCAAAAACCCCCTATTAACCAGTTTTAGTTAAATTTGATAAAAAATAAAAAAAAATATTTCGCCATATTGGATCCGCCATTTTGAATTTTGAAAAACTAACCTCGGATTCGTAATCAGCGACCTCGAAAACCCCCGAGTGGCTATTTTCAAGTGAATCCAAATCATTTTTACAAATACGTCCGCCATATTGAATCCGCACATTTTGAATTTTGAAAAACTAACCTCAAATTCGTAATTAGCGACCCCGAAAACCCCCGAGTAGTAATTTTGAAGTGAATCCGAACGATTTTTACAAATATATACGCCATATTGGGTCCGCCATTTTGAATTTTAAAAAACTGATCTCAAATTCGTAATTAGCATCCCCGAAAACCCCCCGAGTAACAAGTTTCAAACGAATTCGATGAATTTAAAAAATGTCCGCCATTTTGGATTGGCCATATTGAATTTTTTTTTGAAATACAAAATTAAATTTTTTCTTTAACAATGATATAATTATAAACAATGGAAAATGATTAAGCAAACAAAATTGTAATAATTAATATTATTATTATTATTATTATTGTATGAAAGTATTAAATTACAAAAGGCATTGCCAATTGTAAATTCAATATCTTTATGTTCATTTTACGCGCAGTGAATTCAGATGGAAAATAATCGCTTGAAATTGTATAATTATATTATATTAAATTGTTAATTTTCACGTGCAAAATGTTGGTTCACTGGAATAGAAAGAATTCCACGTGAATACTTTTACGTGGGAAGAAAGAACAATACCTATTTACTTTTCTTCTTTATATATATGTATATACGAGCATTCGGCTATCCTTTTTTCTTCTCTGCAAATGACAGCTTCTCATTTCTCTTAATAACCTTACCAGAAATAAAAAAGAGATGTGGAAATTTATAATAACAATAATAATAATAATACAAATAAGTCTGATATTAAAAATTATTAAAAACTGAAATTGATTTCGTAATCAGAAACCCAAAAATTCACTTGAAAGAGATTTTGATGAGTTTCGCTTACGTAATGAAATGGACAATTTGAATTTTGAAAAACAGATATCAGATTTGTAATCAACGACACAAAAAACCCCCAAGTAATAAGTTTTAGTAACAAATTCGTTGAAAAATGAAAAAAAAATTCATCATACTGGATCCGCCATTTTGAATTTTGAAAAACTAACCTCGGATTCGTAATCAGCGACCCCGAAAACCCCCGAGTAGTGATTTTCAAGAGAATCAAAGCGATTCTTTCAAAAACGTCCGCCATATTGGGTCCACCATTTTGAATTTTGGAAAACTGACCTCGGATTCGTAATCAGCGACCCCGGAAACCCCCGAGTAATGATTTTCAAGTGATTCCAAGCGATTTTTGCAAATTCGTCCGCCATATTGAAACCGCCTTTTTGAATTTTAAAAAATGATCCTCCGATTCGTAATCAGCGACCCCAGAAACCCCCGAGTGGCGATTTTTAAGTGAACCCAGGCGATTTTTACAAATTCATCCGCCATATTGGATCCGCCATTTAAAATTTTTAAAAACTGACCTCAAATTCGTAATCAGCATTCCCGAAAACCCCCGAGTAATAAATTTCAAGCGAATTTGATAGAGAATAACAAAATATTGCGCCATATTGGATCCTCCATTTTGAATTTTGAAAAACTGTCATTATATTCGTCATCAGCGTGCCCGAAAATCCCCCGAATAACAAGTTTCAAGGGAATTTGATAAAAAATCAAAAAAATATTTCGCCATATTGGGCGCGCCATTTTGAATTTTGAAAAACTAACATAGGGTGTTAGTATTCAGCGATCCCAAAAAACCTCTTATAAATTATTTTCAAGTGAATTCAAGCGATTTTTACAAATTTTAGAAGGCTGATTTAAAATCAGATGACAGTTTTTCAAAACACAAAATGGCGGATTGAAAATGTTCGAAGATTTTTTAAGAAAGTAATTAAATTCACTTGAAACTAGTAACTCGTCTGTTTTTTTGGGATCGTTAATTACTAATTCAAGGTTAGTTTTTCAAAATCCAAAATGGCGGATTTAATATGGGAGATGAATTTGTAAAAATCGCTTTGGTTCACTTAAAAATCGCCACTCGGGGGTTTCTGGTGTCGTTGATTACGAATCCGAGGACCGTTTATCAGAATTCAAAATGTCGGTTTAAGTATGGCGGACGAATTTGCAAAAATCGCTTGGATTCACTTGAAAATCACGAGTCGGGGGTTTTCGGGGTCGCTGATTACGAATCCGAAGCTACTTTTCCAAAATTCAAAATGGCGGACCCAATATGGCGGACGTATTTGTAAAAATCGTTTGGATTTACTTGAAAATTGTCACTCGGGAGTTTTTGGAGTCGCTGATTACGAATTTGAGGTCAGTTTTCCAAAATTCAAAATGGCGGACCCAATATGGCGGAATATTTTTTCATTTTTTAACAAATTCTTTTGAAACTTGTTACTCGGAGGGTTTCAGGGTCGTTGATTACGAATCCGAAGTCAGTTTTCAAAATTCAAAATGGCGGACCCAATATGGCGGATGTATTTCTAAAAATCGTTTGGATTCACTTGAAAATCTCTACTCGGGGATTTTCGGGGTCGCTGATTACGAATCCGAGGTTAGTTTTTTAAAATTCAAAATGGCGGACCCAATATGGCGGATGTATTTCTAAAAATCGTTTGGATTCACTTGAAAATCTCTACTCGGGGGTTTTCGGGGTCGCTGATTACGAATCCGATGTCAGTTTTTTAAAATTCAAAATGTCGGAGCCACTATGGCGGAATATTTTTTCATTTTTTATCAAATTCTTTTGAAACTTGTTACTCGGGGGTTTTCGGGGTCGCTGATTACGAATCTGAAGTCAGTTTTGAAAAATTCAAAATGGTGGACCCAGAAAGGCGGACGTATTTGTAAAAATCGTTGGTATTTATCTGAAAATAACTACTCGGGGGTTTTGGGGGTCGCTGATTACGAATCCAATGTCATTTTTTCAATATTCTAATTGTCAATTTCTGTAAAAATGTTATAAATTAATTTTTTCTCTTTACATTGTTTAAATTTCAAATGTATTCTATTTTTGGAATATAATTTAATGTATTAAGTAGAAATTTATAAAAATTTTAATATATTTCCCAAAATAAGAATTTTTTTTTCCTTCCTGACCAATTGTAATGTAATCTTTAAGGGAGTCTTTGTTTCAGAATTGAGATTCCAAAGGCTTGTTGAACACAACTTGTTTTGTGTACAATATATATATATATATACACACACAAAAAAAATGGTGGCAGTGACGTCGCGAAACGGGATCCAAGTGCGCAACGCGAATAAAAGTCGTCTCGCTTCGTCATTGGGGCGCGTGAGCTTTGTAAAGACAGCCCTTTGGCGCTTTCTGTCTCTCTTTCTCTCTCTCTCTTTCTCCCTCACTTTTTCACTCTCTCGAGCAGGCCTTCGATCTTCACCTTTGGTAAAGAAGAGACTATATGTGTGTATATAGCTCAGGCCAGTGTGATTGGCACTCTGTCGCAGTCGATTTCGGGCGAGCATGGGTAATGCACGTGTTCTTTCTGCGATCACGCGAACAACCCCATACAACAAGAACCATCGCCGCAGCAACAGCGCCCCTCTAACTAATTGTGCCACCACCACCACCACAACCATTATCAACAACACCAATACAAACAAAAGTAACAATTTTCTGATATCTCAAACTTCTGCCACAAAAATTATCAACAGCTGTAATCGTCGCAATATTAAAGTGTCCAGCTGTGCGGGACGTGTCATCATAAATAATAAAAATAATAATAATAATACTAATAATTGGCTTCATCGGCACAAGAATAATAATAATAATAATAAAAAAAATCGTCATTATAATATCAATGACGAGGAGGATATTATTAACAGCAACAACAACATCACATATCCATCAATAACGATGGGCCTGAAACGGCCGTTTCGGCTAATCGGTCTTTTTATCATTCTTGCGACACTTTGTGATCGCGTCAAGGCCGAGGTTTTTACCAATACATTTTTGGTGAAAATGCGCGAACCGGCCGAACGACATGTAGCCGATTTTGTTGCTGCCCGAAATGGTTTCGTTAATTTGGGACCGGTGAGTAAATTTTTCAATAGTGAAATTATTTAATTTTTCTTAACGAAAAAAAGAAGACAGAAAAAAAAATTGTTCCTTTGTCTTTGAACTTGCAAGACATTTTTTTTGTTCGCCCCACGGACAGCTGTTTTGTTGAAAGGTTGGGAAAATTCTTTTTTTTATTTTTCTCTACAACAATAGGGATAAAAAAAAAAATTATTTTCTTCTTTAAGTTTTAAAAATATTTAAATTTTTCGAAAATTTTACAATAAAATGAGAAACGTTGTCAGTTATTTTTCGGTTTTTCTACAACGTTGTCACTTGTCCTTATGGCTTAGGAGATATTTTAGGAGACTTTTCAGTGCGTATTGCTTTTTGTCTGTCACGAGGAGAGTTGTCACTTGTCTTATTCGAGAAAGTCATTTTCTTATGAATTATAATAAAAATTACTCTCAGTGACGGAAAGTTGTCATTTTCTTCTAAGAAAAATTTTATCAGTTGTCCTTCTCTTTCACAAAATTATTAATTGTGAAAGAAAGTTATCAGTTGTTTTTAGGAATAATAATAATAATAATAATAATAATAATAAAAATAGTAATAATAATAAATAGATAATAATAAGTGCCGGAAAATTATCAATTTTTTTCTTTTGTTCAAAGTTATCACTTGTTTTTATAAATTATTATGAAAGTTACTATTAGTACCAGAAAGTTATCAGTTTCTTTTTTATTACCGGCAAGTTATCAGTTGTATTTTCTGTCCAAAGTTATCAATTGTCTTTTTTGAATTATAATAAAAATTACAACAATTTCGGGCGAGTTATCAGTTATCTTTTTCTGTCCAAAGTTATCACATGTCTTTATGAATTATTATAAAATAGTAATAATAATAATAATAATAATAATAATAATAATAAAGAAATAAATAAATAATAAGTTCCGGTAAGTTATCAGTTCTTTTTTTCTTGTTCAAAGTTATCACTTATTTTTATATATTAAAATAAAAATTACTATAAATGACGGAAAGTTATCAGTTGTCATTTTTCTTCAAAAAAAAAAAAAAAAATTTTTGGTTGTTCCCTTTTTTTAATAGAAAATTATCACTTGTCTTTTTTGGCCTAACAGAAATTGAATGAAAATTTAATTTTGCATTTATATGATAACGATAAATATTTTATTTAGTTTTTTTTCAGAAAAAAGAATTCATCCGATAGGTCGAAGGTCAATGACGTCGGGATGACAATGGCCGGGTCGTATTTCATTTTTCTTTTTTTTTCCCCCGTTATTATTAATGGTGGTAATTATTCTTCGGTACTTGATCAATGGCGTGTTTTTGTTTTGTCTTCATCTAGACTATACTAGTCAGATATATCTACGTTTTTGCATGAATGTCATTTTAAAGAGAGCGTGAGATTTTTCTTTTTGAACATATTTCGACCGTTTTTTTGGGGGTTATAGAAATTATTATTATTTTTATTATTTTTATTATTTTTATTATTAGTAGTATTAGTTTTATTAGTCCTGAATTTCTAGTCTATTTCAATAAAATTTCTCAAAAAAAGTAAAGGATATTTTTTATTTTTTTGATTCTTATTTTTTTTAGTTCTTTTTCAAATATTTTTTTCCCCCTCGAATATTTTTGCTGGTAAATATATATTATGTAAAAAGTTCAATTAGTGTACCTTATGTTCTTAAGGATAAGGAAGGATATATAGTAATAATGAGGAATTGACGTCATTGCAGAAAATAAGTTTTCGATTTTAATAGATAGGATTTTAGGATATTGGAAAACAATGAAAAAACATCAATAATAAATTTTCGATTAGTATTTTAATGAAAAAAAAACTGTAATAATAGATTCTAATTATTAGTTAATAGAAAAAAAAAAATTGTTGCTAACAATTCAAAAAAATTTTGGACCTTACAGATTTAAACCTAACAGCTAAAAACTACACTTCTAAATGGGTATTATTATTATTTTTTTTGTTATTATTATTATTATTATTACCATTATTTGTTTGAATCCATACTATTAATTAAATAAGTCCGAAACAATTGGATAGATTACCTGGTATACTGAATTCTAGTTTATACAAACGGTAATTAGTAATGTAACTATAAGAATCCATAAAAATGAACGACAAGGGATGTTGACATTGTCCTTGAATGAGGAAATGAAGTTTATAAGGACAGTACATAAAAGAGGTGCAAAAAAAAACTTGTTGAATACATTATTTCTATAGTAGCACGCAATGTCGAAAAGATGATTATGTTGGGTAATAAATTTTCAAAGAGAAGAAGATAGCACCATTTATTCGTACTGTTAGTTTTTATTTTAATATATTTTTTTTTAATACAGAACTCTTCGATATTAAAAACTTGTCTGTATTCTCTTTATTTAATTATATCCATTTGTAATGATTTCAATTTGATGCTGTTTGTTAAGGATTTTTAAAAAATCGTCTATAGAACAGTTCTGCTAACTAATAGGTTTACCAAGATGCGATTCTAATATTTAATATTGCTGGAATTCTTCTTTCTGGGTAAGGCAATCCAAGTCGTGGAAATTTTTTGATGATTTCAACCGTTTTGGTCTTTTGGAGAACTGAAAGTCTTTGTATTAGGAGTCGTCTCCGATTTTAATCCACAAGTCTCCGATTGTTGTGGGTCTCAAGAACTTCTTTCAGCTCTATCCGGAATTCTTCCTGGATAAGACAACTCAATGGAATGGGAATGGATAGTTTCGACCGTTTTGGAGAATCAGTAGTCGTCTTAGGAGTCGTCTCCAATTTTAATCCAAAAGTCTCCGATTATTGTGGGTCTCAAGAACTTCCTGCAGCTTTATATGGACTTCTTTTTCCTGGGTAAGGCAATCTTAGTCGTGGAATTTTACGATGGTTTTCTACTGTTTTGCAGAACTGATAATCGTATTAAGAGTCTGTAATTTTAATCCAGAAGTCTCCGATTGTTTTTGGGTTTAAGAAAACTTCTTCTTCCTTCAGCCCTTGCTAGACTTCTTCTTTCCGAAAAAATTCACCGACTGTAGGTTTAGATCTTTTCCTCCGTTTTAAAAAAACTGAAAGTCTTCGTATTAGAAGTCGTCTTCAATTTCAATCCAGAAGTCTCCGATTCGTCGGAGACGTTCAAAAAGTCTCCAATTTTAATCAGAAAATCTCCAATTGTTCTAGATCTTTTTCTTACAGTTTCAGATCAACAAACAAATTTTAATGCCTCTTAATTTCTCCAGAATGTCTACTGCCTCTTCTTGTTCGGTGACTACAACTGCGAGCTTCATCCCTCGTCGCTTGCATCTTGGGATTATGAGCTTCCTGTCTTCTGGAAGGTTCTTCCAGCACTTTCTGCATTTCCTTCTTGGTAGAGTAATCCAAATCGATCAAAACTTATTGGTATTCGTCTCCGAATTTAAGGCGGTTTCTCTGGCAGGTATACCACTGAATGGTTTTTGTTTGTATTGTCTGCGGAATTTACTAAGCACGTTGGCATGCAAATTACAATCGCTTTCGTCATATTCCAACTGATGTCACCAAATGATGACTACCTGGACGGCCTAGAGATAAAGCCAATTGAGTTTCAATTTTTTCAGTCTGTCCAGGTCTTCTTGGTCAGTGACTACAATTGCGAGTTTCATTCCCCGATTGTTGGGTTTCGGCTTTTTGGAAAATTTTCTCCAGATCTTCTTCCTCTTTCTGGGTAAGGCAATCCAAATTACGGATTCAAGTCTTCGAATCCAGAAGCATTAAATAGGGGATCCAAATCCACCAAAACGATGCTTCCGACCTCTTTGATGACTTTAAGGATGAGAATCTCCTTTGATTAGAACTATTGGAAGTCGTCTAAGGTTTTAATCTTCCATTTTAGTAGGTATTGCACCTTCTGGCTTGCCTTCTGGTCTTCTGTAGCTGACTTCTGGATTTAATTCACTGCAAAATTTGCTCAGAACGTTGACACGTCATTCCGTCTGCGATTCTGATCACCGTATTCGGTCCTCTCGTCTTCTGCTTAATTCCAGATGGTTTTCGTAATTCCGTTTCTTTAATTTTCCTCTCTTCTGGAGTCTGAAGGTGTTTCCTCCCTTAACTTCTTTATCAGTTTCTTTTTCCTGGACATATTTTTTATCCTTCAGGAAACCGGATTGTAAAATCACAATTATAACAATTTGTTACTAAATTCCTAACTTTTTCCTTTACTATAGAGAGAAAGGGGGTTTGCCTTTCTCCAATTTCCTTCTATTGCGGTCCAATGGTTTTATACCTGAGACCCTAAACTGATACTTATGTTTCGTTTGTCCCTATAATTTAATTTCAGTTATAATTCGTTTTCCGCGCAGCACAGTGTTTTGTTTCAACTCTGCTGGTCTATCTTTTTTTTTGTAAGTAGTTTATTATTTTTTTCTTTTTTCTTTTACCCTTCTGTGATCGATATTTAATATTATTACCTTATTTATAACATTCTAATTTTAATATTAAGAATTTGTGAAATTAAATTTCTCTTAATTAGCTAATTATTAGTGCTAATTATAATGTATCAAAGATTATTGATTTTGTTTAATGGGAGGTTAATTGGGAATGAGACAGAGGGATAGAAAAATTGATATAATGAAAAAAAAAATTTAATTTCTTTTGACTTTTGTTTCGATAATAATTTCTTTAAAAATTTCCTAAAAATATATATATATATATAATGAAAATGCATTTAGATAAATATTTTTACGTACTTGGAAAAATTTCAGTAAATATGGGACAAAAATACATCCCACACACTTTAACCCACACAAAATAGATAATTAAACACTGATATACAAACTGTATAATATAATAATATATTAATGTATCCAAATAATGTATTCCAATCGTTACATAACCAATTATAATATTCAAATCGAGATTCCATATGGAATATTTGCTACATAAACTTTATATACATATATAGGTACTAAAAATCAATATCCCTGCTATAGATGCAGATACAAATGTAATATTTATATATTCTTATTTTTTTCATTTATTTAAATCTCAATTTTTATAATATAAAAATCCCGACAGTGAAGTTTATAAATTTTTTTAAAATTTTTTCATTAAAAAAATACTTGTAATTAAAAAAAAAATTCTTAAAAAAATTAATTATATTTTTTGAGTGAAAAAATATTATTTTCATTATTGTTGATCGTATAAACGTTTATATGCACTCCAATTTCTCTTAATTAATGAATTTATTTAATTTTCAATTAAATTAGTTATAATTTAAATTAATATTAAATTAATATCTCATTAATATATATATATATATATATATATATATATATATATAACGCGAGTACACTTAACAGCTGTTCAGATAAAATGTATGCGATTATAAATTTAATATAAATAATAGAGAAAAAAATCTAGGTCAATTAATTTTAAATGAATATGATTTTTCTCTTCTTAAACTTTTATAAAATTTTTTAAAAAAAGAAGAAAAAAAAAGTTGAACATATTTTTACCTCAATTCATGAATAATATTATTATAAGAAACGAGACTAAAGGTGTATGACGCACGAAAAAGAAAAAATAAATAGGGGTTGAGATCACATAATTTATTGAAAGTCACACGCATCTAAATATATATATATATTTTTTTTTGTTTACGGTTCAAGAAAATTTAATCGTATTTCTATAAACTATAATTTTTAATGGGTAAAGTGCAAAAATAAAAAAAAATTGAATATTTTTTTTATGCATAAACGTACTTGAGATATTGAATTATTAAAAAAAAATTTACTGTTAAATTTATTTTTATACTTAAAAATTTTATGGGAATTTTCAATTTTATGTAAATAATTTATTATCTATTACTATTATAATTATTATTATTATTATTTTTGGTCATATTGTTATTATTTTATAATAATAATTATTAATAATAATTATAAATAATTATTATAAAAAAATTATTTAGTTTTGTAAATTGTAAATTCTTTTTTTATTGTAAAAAATATATTGTGTTAATAATAATTAGTAACAATAAAAATAAAGTGTGTATTGAAACTATTTTTTTTTCTTTTTTTTATACTGAAAATACATGTTTACGGCTTTTAGAACATTTAACAACATAAATGTCACAGTTAAAAAGGGTATTCGAAGATTTTATAGTTTTACTTACGGAAAATAGAGCATCTTCCGGTATATATGTGTGTGTCAATCGTAAAGCCATAAACAGTTATAAAAATCGTTTTTAAAGTGGCTTTTTTCAAGGGGAAAATGTAAAACACATATTATATGTATTTTATTGCTAAACCAATTTTCCTTCATTTCCTTATTTCTATATTTACATTTCCATGTACTTGAATATATTTTTTTTCTACACATATATATATTACTTTTGTTTGAGTTTTTTATTTATATATTCATTATTGTAAAGTGCATATATCAACGAGAATCACGCAATATTCAAAAGAATTTATACCGTATGTATATGTAGTATAATATAATGTGATTTCTCTCACTATGCGATGAATTAGAAATGCATATACAAGTTTTTTTTCGTCTTTTTTTAGCACCAATGTGTTTTTAAAATGTTAAATGCAAAAAATAAATTTCGTTCTAAATTGTTCCTTGTTGCAAAATAAATGAAATTATTGGAAATTTTATTCTCAATTTAAAAATATTTATTTTATTTAAGAAATAAATTACAGACTTATTTCTTAAGAAGAGCCAATAAATGTTGATATAAATTAAGAATAGATTTTTCCACTGTTAATGAAATAAAATCTATTTAAATAATCGAAAATAAAATTATAGAATGAATTTATTTACTTTTAATTTATATTTATTGAAATTTATTTTCGTTTAATTAAATATTTACGTTTGAAAAATGGTATCAACCCCATACTGTGTCTTGCTGAACAATTTTCCTTTTTTTTCCCTTTATAATACAATAAATTATCCGTGATTTTAGGGTGCGGAGAATATTTCTTATTCCAGTCACATTTTTAAAGAATATTTAAGAATTTATTCATTTTTTTTTTTTTTATTGAAATACAAATGAGTTGGTATTTTTCTTTTTATCTATTTATAAAATAAGTGAAAATTATTATACAGTTAACCCTAGGGAGTAAAACAATCTTTTTTTAACCTTAGTAATTTAATAGAAAGTGATTATTTTTTAATATTTGAGGTTATTCTTTTAAAATGAACGTTTTTATAATAGATATTTATGTATAGAAGAGAAAAAGTATAAAAATATTGCTATTAATTTTCGAATAATAATTATTTACTTTCCAGTGGTGTTTATCACGTCGTTTAATTCTTAAAAATTGTTTTGATTTGAAAGATACGTATGGTTTTTAATGAAAACAAACTAAACTTATTATTTTAATAAATAAAAGTGGACAGCAACTACAAACTTTTTTTTGAGGTTAACTTTACAATACACCAAATTACGACCAAATAGTAATTACCGAATTAGCCGAATCTAGATTATTATTAAGCAATTAAGCTCATTGTTATTCATCATTAATATAAAACAAACCTTTTTTTTCTTTCTTCACTGCGATAACTTAATTTATCTCCTTGCAAAATTGAAATGTATCATGTCAGGATTATTTTACCTTCTTTCTGGAAGTAAACACATAGTACTGCCAACCTATTTCAGAATTCTGTAAATATCCCTATATAGTAACTTTAGGTAATTTAATTATACCAACACTAATCTGAAATTGTCCACAATTTTTTAAATATATTTTGATATATAAATATTTTTATAATTAATATATATTAATACTATTAATTAATATTTTAATATTATTAATTATTAATTAATAATAAATACCTAAAAATGAAAATAGAAATTAAAATAATTTTTTAAATTGAAATAAAAAAAAAGGAAATTTTTATTATTAGTCTCTTTTTTAATCCAAGGCAGTAAAATGAACTATTTTCGACCCTAGAGAGCAAAATAGACTTTTTTATTATTATATTTTAAAAAAATAATACGTGATAATAAATTAATATTACTAACAAGAAATTTAATGAAAGGAAATAAGAGACATTGTAAAAAAAGAAGAGAAAAATGTATATCTATATTTTGTGAAATAAAAAAAAATTTATTATCCTTATACAAGAGTCTCTGGATTATTATATTTTTTTTATATACAACACATAAGACAAGAATAATGCTTTTTATATGAGAATTGAATTTATGTATGTTTGTCTCACAAGAGACGAGTTTTCATGGTATATATATTGTGTAAAATAAAAAATAAATTACCAATGAAATTGGCAAAGTATTGCATCGAGAGATAACAAGTTTTGCATTTCTAAGTGTGGAATAACATCTCTTTCTTTTCTTTTTTATTTTTATAAAATGGATACTATTTCTACATAAATTTTCTTCTATTGACTTGTCCCTTTTTTAAATTCTAAAGACAGGTGATAAAGAAAAACGCTTCTCGTGACCTTACATAAGCGTGTCTTATTTTTTCCTCTCCCCATTTTTTTTTTTTTTTTTTTGAACTTCTTTTACTTTTTTTTTCTTGCCCACGACGAATTACGTGCCTTGTATATGAATAATATTCTTTGAAAGCTTTTATACCCCGCTTGCGCGTGTATACACGCCACTATATGTATGGAACATAATTTTAAAGAGAAGTAAATAAAAAGTCGATACCGAGAACTACCCATGCTCTGATAATTTTTAATATGTATTCACCTGTTCCTACATCATCATTTTTTTTATAATATATATTATTTTACAAGGCATCCTTTTTAAAAACAAATCTCTTTCTTTCATTCTTTTTATTTCCTTTTTTTCCTTTCTTTCTTTTTTTATTTTTTTTTCTTTCTTTTCTTTTTTCTCGCTTCCTTGCATCTTCATTTTTTTTTTAAATTACCACTTTTCACTAAATTAGTAGGTAAAAACTTTTTCATGGAAACTTTTCACACTATATATAATTATTCTTTTTTTTTAACGGAAAAGTTTTTAACCAATTATGTGATGTCTCATGAACGAAAAGTGTAATTATCAATTTTTGTTTGGGTAGAAAACTTTTATATATATACATATATATATATACGACTCTCTATAATTAAGTAAAATAATAATTAGTATTTTTTTTCAGGAAAAATTTCATATAGAAGATAATTGTATTTTTATGTGTCGATAACTTTTTTGAATGTAGGTAGTAATTGGCAATTTCCGTGGAAAATGTGATTAGAAATACATTATTCCCTTCGTTTATTTTTTATTTTAATTAATTTTAATTATTTCTGTTATATTATTTCTTTATATTAATAATTATAATTATTATTAGTACTACTATTATTACTATTACTATTATTACTATCATTATTATAATTGTTTTCTTTTTTTTACTTATAAATAGTTGATTGTAATTTTCTACTCGAGAGATAAAAATTAACTATATTCAGCACTAGAGAGTAAAAATTACTTACTTCAGAATTAGTAGGTAAAATTACATTTTTCGCCCTAGTGAGTAAAATTACTGTTTTCGTACTAGGGTGCAAAATATCTGTTTTCGTACTAGGGAGTAAAATAACTGTTTTCGCCTTAGTGAGTATAACAACTTTTTTCGTACTAGGGTGCAAAGTAGCTGTTTTCATACTAGGGAGAAAAATAGCTTTTTTAATACTAGGGAGTAAAATGACTGTTGTCATACTAGGATGCAAAGTAGCGGTTTTCGTACTAGGAATTAAAATAGCTGTTTTCTTACTAGGGAGTAAAATAACTGTTTTTGCCCTAGTGAATAAAATTACTGTTTTCGTACTAGGCAATTAAAACGATCCTTTTTTTAACTCCAGAATACAAAATTTTTAAGGTTTTTTCAAAAAATGATTTTTATTATAAAAGATAAGCTTGCTATTTTTTTTTGGTTATTTTAAAAAAGAAAATCTGAATATTTTTTTTAACTGTTTTAGCTTTTGGGGAGCCAAACGGAATATCATTTCGTTCATAGGGCCCTACCACACGCTAGAAGCAAAAGGTCCGTCCCACATATGAGAAAGTTAAAAGTGGATCCTTTGGTAAGAAAATATTTTTATTTTTACTTTCATATTCTTTTCTTTTTATTTCAATTTTTTGCATTAACATTTTAATGACACTTTTTTATAAACTCCGTTTCCATTGTTTTTTTCAAAAGTTCTCTACAATTTCATTTCCCACGGGATAAATCTTTTTTCCGATTTTTTTTTCTTTTAATTAATACAATAGATAGCTTCATCGCATAAAATTTTTTTTTTTAAATTTCTTTTCTCAATATTCAGTATTATTACAGAAATTATTTTTTAAAAATATCTTCTTTGAATTTCAAAAAAAGAAAAAATATATAATTTCGAAACAAGTTAATATTTTTTCCCTTTTTTAATTAAAACAAATTTTTTTTTTAATTTTTATTAATTTTTATCCGATTTTTTTTCGGATAGATTCACACAGCTATTCAACAACAGGGATTCAAAAGAGTAAAACGTGGCTATAAACCATTCAGTGTTGATAAATTAGTACCATTGTATCCATTAAGAGATCCTTCAAATCCCGCAAGTCGAGATCCAACGGATCCATATTTTCAATATCAATGGTACTTGAAAAATACGGGACAAAATGGCGGGAAACCAAAACTTGACTTAAATGTTGAATCTGCGTGGGCGCAAGGTGTGACGGGAAAAAATGTTACGACTGCTATTATGGACGATGGTAAGCGAGAAAAATTATATAAAAAAGAAAAAACAATTTTTTTTTTGATGCTAACATTTTTTGAGTTTACTTTGCATAGAAAATTAAAAAAAAAAAAAACTATAAAAATTTCTAATTTTCAAAGAAATTGAATTTTATAGTTGTACATTTTTTAGATGCGTCGAAGTTGAGAACTATTGTGCGCATCAGTTTACGCGCAGCCCCCACTCCTTGAGTGTTCTGTGATTGGTAGTCGCGTTCCTCCAGCAGGGCCGGCTCTATACGAAATGGGGCCCTTTTTTGATTCTCGAAATATTTTTTTTTGTTTTTTTTTTATATTTTTATATATATTTTTTTATATATTTTATTTTTTAAAATATTTTTTTATTTTTATATATATATTTTTATATTTATATATATATTTTATATATTTTTATATTTTTTTTCCTATGGATTAAATATTGAGTTAACAATAGTCACTGATAATAGATAGTTTGAAATTTTAAAAACTCTATCTCATATAATTATAAAATTTCTTTTTTACATTTTAACATTTATTTATTAAAATTGCATTGGATTAATGTATTAATATATTTATAATTATTCTGAAGTATTCTATAAAAAGTATAAATAAAAAAAAAATAAATAAATTTTTTTTATGTGAAATTAAATTATTTTTACTTAATCTCTATTTAATTTTGGAAAATTCGGCGCCTAAGATAATTGTTCCCTCATAGAGCCGGCCCTGTTTCCCCCACTTCAGCGCGCGTGCAGTGTTTCTCAACTTCATTATTGGAAAACGATTCACAAAAGTGGCTCCAATATAAAAATATACTACAAAAATTCAACAGAAATATATTTTTTTCTTTTTTAAAAAAGAAATTTATTATATTTTACTAAAGTAAAAAAAAAATTAAAAATAAATAAAAATACAATAAATTAATAAAATTTGATTTATAAATTAAAAAATTAAATTTAGAACATTATAAATTGATTAATTTTTTGTTTTTTTCTTTCTGTCGTTCACTAAATTTTTTTTTAATACAAAAAAATGAAAAATTACCAAAAATTATTTTTAAAAAAATAATAAAAAAAAATTGTATCACTAAATTTTAAAGTGTTCTATCTCTTTATATGCATAAACATGCACTCGGATCAGATTTAATCAATATCTTCATTTCACTGGATTTTAAGAGGATTACATTTAACACGATTGTCTCTGGTTCTCCATTCTGAATTGTTTCATGATAGAACCTTACATACAAAATGTCATATTATAGTGTGCTAGTCCATAAATATTTTATTGTAAAATGTTAAATATAAATTTCAATTTTTTATTAACAATTACAATAAAAAATTATTGGATATTAAATTAATTATAAATCCAATTTTTTTATTTCAAATTAAAAAAGTAATATTGCACATTACTGTAAATTTTTTTTTTTTATATACAAATATTTTTATATATTTTTTATGTTTCTATTACGTAAAACAATTTTTATTTATTTTTTAAATTATAGATAATTAAATAAATAGTAATAATAAAATTAAAAAAAATAATGTATTTGTTGCAAATAATTGATTACTTAACTATTAGCAAATAAATCTTTACTTGAACCTAATAATATTTTTTTTTTATTATTTTTTTTTATCTTTATAAAAGGTATAATTTTGCAAACCCGTGTAAAATTTAAATAAATAAAAAAAGAATGTATAAAAAATTTTGTTTCGTAAAGAAGATGGGGTATTCGTTTTTTTTTAATACTAAAATAAATATAATTCATAAAATGATAATAAAAATAAGAAAAATAAATAATATTATGATGACATCGAAGTTTTTATTAGATAATAAATTTTATGGGAAGTAATAAACTGATTTAATGTCTTATCAGTACTGCTAACTTATTCCTGATCAAAATCAATTTATTTTTATTATCAAGTTATTTTGTATAAATAAATATTCTGTATATATAGAAAAAAATATATGTATGTATCTATTTTAAATAATAAATTGTTTTTAATTATATCTTTTTTTTAAACAGGTGTTGATTATATGCATCCTGATTTAAAATTTAATTATGTAAGTATTTTTACATAGAATTAAAAATATAAAATCAAATACAATAAATAATTTAATATTTATTTAAATTTATTATATGAAACTTAAAAACTTATCATTAAAATTTATAGAAATATTGATTTAAAAATTTTTATTTTTTATTAATATAATTTTTTTTTTCATTTCTTTTAAGAGTGAATAATTTTAGAAATTTATAAAATTAAATTAAAATAGAAAAAAAATTGACATTTATTTTTTGCAGAATGCACCGGCTTCCTATGACTTCAGTAGTAATGACCCTTATCCTTATCCAAGGTACACGGATGATTGGTTCAACAGGTAAAGTTAATTGATCATTAAATATTAATTTTTTTTTTAAATATATTTTTCTTCTTAACAAACAAATGAATTCAGTATCGATTGAAAAAAAAAAAATTCTAAAAGGAAAATTTACTAATAAAAGGTCAAATAGCAGTACTTTAAAAAAAAAAAGTAAATAAAAAATATGAAAATTTTTTTTTCTAATTTTAACTTTTTTAGATATAAAATAAAAATTATAAAAAGGGACCTCAGCTCGTATATTTTATTAAATAAAAAAAGAAATAAAAAAAATAATAAAAAAAAGTAAAAAAAAAGTTTTATATATTAGGCAATAAATAATATTTTTTTCGTCACACAGACAAATAACCAAAAATGTTTATCCAAAGACGATAAAAGGGTTATTATTAATTTTTAATACGACTTTATTAAGTGTAGTCGTCAAAGTTGAAATTATTCAAGAAAGTCATTAACGCTTATTACCGCGTGGAAATTGCTGAGGGGAGATTCTCGTTTCCTTTGCCATGCCACGTTATTTTATGTCTGTATATATATACATATAAAGTGCACATACAGATATTGCGTCTTCGAAAATGAGAAAAAGGGGAATTTATTTCACTCCCCCAAAAAAACAATATGAGAAAAATAAATAGAAATAAAATTTGATGGGATCTTCTTCTTCTTTTTTTAATATTTTTGTTAGCTAATACCAAGAGAGTGTACTATTGCATATTCTCTTTTTCTTATAACAGCATCAAAGGACACATTTTTTTTTTTTGCTCTCATGACAAAAAATACAATCTCCTTCAAACAGAATTTTTTTTTTTCAATTCAAATGAGAAATTTCATTTAATTTCACGTTTCAAGTTCCTGAGGAATTTAAATGAAATTTTCATTTGTATTGAACTGTGAATTTTTTTTTCTTTTTCATAAAGTTTAAATTTATGTAATAGTATAATTTATTTAAAATAAAGTAATTTTATAATTATTTAAAATATATTTTTCTATTATTATTATTATTATTATTATTATTATTATTATTATTATCGTTATTATTCTTTAAGATTTGTAGGGAATAAAACGATCCTTTTAATCCTTAGGGAGTAAAGTAATCCTTTTTAACCCTAGTGAGAAAAATAAATGGTTAAGGTCCTAGGGAGTAAAGTAATTCTGTTTAACCCTAGTGAGAAAAATAAATGGTTAACGTCCTAGGGAGTAAAGTAATTCTTTTTAACCCTAGTGAGAAAAATGACTGTTTACGTTTCTAGGGAGTGAAGTAACCCTTATGAGAAAAATGACTGTTTAACGTCCTAGGGAGTAAAGTAATCTTTTTCAACCCGAGTAAAAAAAATTTATTTAAATAAAATTAATAAAATGAATAATAATAATAAATATTTTTAATTTTATTTTTTAAACATAAATAACAAGAAAATCAAAATTTTTTGTCTTGTTAAAAAAAATCGTGATATTCTCGTGTTCCTAAAGAAAAAAAAGTCTCTTCATCTTCCTAAGGAGCACAATAAATACAATTACTTTTCTTATTTCACATTTTTCTATTTGTATTTACTTTTTCAGTTTATTCGTGTTTATAGAGCATTTCTCGAGGGAAATTTTCTGTCTTCCGACAACGAGTTTAAATCATTCCAATAATCAAACCTTGTTTTCTCATCAATAATTGGAGAATATTGAAAGATATAGATAAAAAATAAAATTTTTATTAACATTTTAGAAAATTCACTTTTAATTGTTTATGTAAAATTGTTAATCAAATAAATTTATATTTCTAAATAATTTGTTTTAATATTCTAATTTTTTTTAAAAACTATTTTGTTTATTATTTGTTTAACAATATTTATTTTTGCCAAGGGATAAAAAGTGATTTTTCTAGCCCTAGAGCTGGAAAGGATTTTTTTTTCTAAAAGAGGAAAATGATTATTTTATACCCTAGAAAGAAAATGGTTTTTTCCCGCACTAGGGAGTAAAGTAGTTTCTTTTCGCCCCAGGAAGTAAAATTGTCATTTTCAGCCCTAGGAAGTAAAATGGCTTTTTTCAACCCCAGAAAGTAAAATGATCCTTTTTTGTTCTAAGGCCCAGAATAATTCGATTTTCATTTTATTCCTAGGGAGCAAAACAATTCTTTTTAGTTCTAGAGAGAAAAATTCTACTTTTAGCACTAGGAAATAAAATGTCATCTTTTAATCCTACAAAGTAAATTTTTTGTATATTTTTATACCAAATGGTTAAATAATAGAAAGAAAAATCTTTTTTGTCTAATTCCCCAAAGAGTAAAAATAAAAAAAGAAATTTTTTTTCGAAAAAAATATATTTCTACAAAAATAAAATGATATTTTTGATTTAAACAAAAAAAAATGATATTTTTGTAATTAAAACGTTAGAAATTCCACTTTACTGAGCCAGGAGATTTTCATTAAATATTAATTAACATTGAATTAATGAATATATAATTATTAAAATGAAATTTACAGTCACGGAACAAGATGCGCGGGTGAAGTGGCAGCCGCAAGGGATAATGGAGTTTGTGGTGTTGGCGTGGCATATGATTCAAAAATCGCTGGCATCAGAATGTTGGATCAGCCATATATGACTGATTTAATTGAAGCTAATAGCATGGGACATGAGCCAAATTTAATTGATATTTATAGTGCATCATGGGGTCCAACTGACGATGGAAAAACAGTTGATGGGCCAAGAAATGCAACAATGAGAGCAATTGTGCGCGGTGTAAACGAGGTAAACATTATTTTTTTTATTTATTAATTTTTAATAATGTACAATTATTTTATTTTGTAACATTATATTTTTATTTAAATAAAATAAATTCAATTTAAAACAATTAAAAAAAAAAAATTAAAAAATTAATAGAATGGTTATAAAAAATTAAATTTATTTTTCCAACGTAAAATGAAAAATAAATATTACTATTTTCCGCATAATTTGTCAATCGTGATTTTATTAACGATGCGACAAATGTGACGGAAGAAAATTGCGAGAAACACGAGAGGGGGGTCTTTGAGAGTGTAATGAATAGAAACATTTATTTTTTCTCTTCATATTTCTAGGGGAGAAATGGTTTGGGAAATATTTATGTGTGGGCTTCTGGAGATGGTGGCGAGGAAGATGACTGTAATTGTGATGGTTACGCTGCCAGCATGTGGACCATTAGCATAAATAGTGCAATCAACGATGGTCAAAATGCCCATTATGATGAAAGCTGTTCAAGTACATTGGCCTCAACTTTTAGTAATGGAGCTAAAGATCCCAATACTGGAGTGGTAAATATAATTTATAAATTCTAATAAATTTTTTCTTTGTTTTTATTATTTTTTTCCTTTAGGTTTTTTATTTTATTTTTATTTTATTACCATTGACTGATCTAGAGCAAGCGCCACAATAAGTGAAAGAAAATTTTAAATGTTTTCATATATTAAATTATTAATAATAATTAATAATTTAATAAGGAAAAAATATTTTTTATTTGACCGGGGTACTGTTTTGATCAATGCCGCTCCTGAACATGAAAGGAGTGGGGGAGCGCGCTGCGATTGGCTCGAGCTCTCTTGACGTCTAGACGTATAAATAGACGGACAATGATAAGCGAAGCGTCAGTCAGTATCTGACGCTGAATGCAGTCACATCTATAAGTGACAAAAGTATTTCTATAAAAGTGTTTGGAAAATTTATTTTAATGTAAAAGAAATTATTGTGTCTAAGAATTTTTAAAGGACGCTTTTTTATATTAGCTTGAGGCGCCACTTTTGTCTAAAGGCGCCGTTATTTACAACTTCTGTTTTTTAATTTTTTCTTTCTAATTTTTTTATTTCTTTTTTGTTTTTCTATGTATTCATATAAACATTTTTTTTCAAGATATTTTAATAAATATTTTTTTTATGTACTTTAATAAATAATTTTTTTTCTTTTTGTTTTTTTTTTATGTATTTCAATAAATAATTTTTTCTTTCTTATTTTATATATATATATATATTTCGATAAACAATTTTATCTTTTTGTTTTTCCTATGTATTTCGATAAATAATTTTTTTGCTTTTTTTCTATTTATTTCAATAAATAATTTTTTTTTCTAGGCGACAACTGATCTTTATGGTAAATGTACTACAACACACAGTGGAACATCTGCAGCAGCTCCGGAAGCTGCAGGTGTTTTTGCTCTTGCCCTTGAAGCCAAGTGAGTTTTTTTATTATTTTTTTATCAAACTTAAAAAAATTATTACTTAAAGCAAATTTTTAATATCAAGCAAAAAAAAATTTTGTAAATTATTAATTTTTTTTTATTTCAATAGTCCACAATTGACATGGAGGGATATTCAACACTTGACAGTATTAACATCAAAAAGGAATTCTCTATTCGATGCCAAGGGAAGATTCGATTGGACAATGAATGGCGTTGGACTGGAATTTAATCATCTTTTTGGTTATGGTGTTTTAGACGCAGGTGCCATGGTGGCTTTGGCAAAAAAATGGAAAACAGTTCCGCCAAGATATCATTGTGAGGCTGGTGTCGTTGCAACTCCCATGTAAGTTTAGAAAAAAATTATTCTCTATATTTACCAACTACCAAAAATAAAAAAAAAATTTTAAAGAGAAATTGAAATTAAATTTTTAATTTCCTTCTTTAAGGGAAATTCCAAGTGAAGGCTCGATTTATTTGAATATAAAAACGGACGCTTGTGCGGGCACAGATTTTGCCGTTAATTATTTAGAACATGTACAAGCAGTTATTTCTGTAAATGCCAGTCGTCGTGGTGATGTGGAATTATTTTTGACTTCTCCAATGGGCACAAGGTTATTATGAGAAAAAAAATTAATTATTTTACATAATTAATGTTTAATTTAATTTTTTTCCGTCAAATTTAACAAACATTTGTAAAATTATGATACTAATTGAATTTTTAAATTTTGAATATTAAAAAATTGTTTCAGATCCATGATTTTGAGCAGGAGAGTAAACGATGATGATCACAGGGATGGATTTACAAAGTGGCCATTTATGACAACTCACACCTGGGGAGAATATCCTCAAGGGAAATGGTTGCTCGAGGTATGAAATAAAAAAAGTATAAAATTATTTTTTTAATTCATTAAACAGATTTTTCTGCAACAGAATATAATTTTGATTAAACGTGAATGTAAAATAATATAAAAATGATGACTAGAAAGTTTTTTTGAGTCGTTAATTACGATTTAGGGGTGTTTTTCAAAATTATGGCGACCGAAAAAAAAATATAAAACTTGACAATATTCGGTTAATACTTCTTATTTTAGGTTTTTTTGGGTTTATTGCACTTATTCCACTGTTAATCTCAGAAACTATAATAAATAAATTCAATTTTTATATCGTTCTATTGCGTAAGGTCTAAATGAAATGCCTCCACCATTAGTTTTTGATTTAGTTTAATAAATTAAGATAGATTCCTACATTACCGACATTTAAAAAAATTGATCTAAGCTTATAAAAATTAATACTCGGAGGTTTCCGGGGTCGCTGATTACGAATCTGACCTTAGTTTTTGAAAATTCAAAATGGCGGAACCAATATGGCGACTAAAAAATATTTTTAATTTTTAAATTTGATAGAAACTTGTTACTGGGGGGTTTTGGGGGTTTTCAAAATTGAAAATGGCGGACCCAATATGGCAACGGAAAAATTTTTTAATTTTTAAATTTGATTTAAACTTGTTACTCGGGGATTTTTAGGTCCGCTGATTACAAATCTGACCTTAGTTTTTCAAAATTCAAAATGGCGGACCCAATATGGCGACTAAAAAATTTTTTTTAATTTTTAAATTTAATTGAAACTTGTTACTCGGGGGTTTTTGGGGTCGCTGATTACGAATTTGGCATTAGTTTTTCAAAATTCAAAATGGCGGACTCAATATGGCGACTTAAAAATTTTTTAATTTTTAAATTTGATTTAAACTTGTTACTCGGGGATTTTTAGGTTCGCTGATTACGAATCTGACCTTAGTTTTTCAAAATTCAAAATGGCGAACCCAATATGGCGACTAAAAAATTTTTTTTAATTTTTAAATTTAATTGAAACTTGTTACTCGGGGGTTTTTGGGGTCGCTGATTACGAATTTGGCATTAGTTTTTCAAAATTCAAAATGGCGGACCCAATATGGCGACTAAAAAAATTTTTTAATTTTTAAATTTGATTTAAACTTGTTACCCGGGGGTTTTTGGGGTCGCTAATTAAGAATTTGACATCAGTTTTTCAAAATTCAAAATGGCGGACCCAATATGGCGACTAAAAAAATTTTTCAATTTTTAAATTTGATTTAAACTTGTTACCCGGGGGTTTTTGGGGTCGCTAATTAAGAATTTGACATCAGTTTTTCAAAATTCAAAATGGCGGACCCAAAATGGCGACTAAAAAATTTTTTTTAATTTTTAAATTTAATTGAAACTTGTTACTCGGGGGTTTTTGGGGTCGCTAATTACAAATATGGCATCAGTTTTTTAAAATTTTTAATAATTTATTCAATATGGAGGACTTTCGTTTAAAAATTTATTAGTATTGCTATGAAAACATGTCAAAAGTTGAAATTAATTTTTTTTATTTTGTAAAAATTTTTTCCAGGTAAGATTTGATTCACCTACAGTTCAGGAAGGTTGGTTTAAAGAATGGACCCTTATGTTGCACGGAACAAGAGATCCACCATACACTGGATTGGCAGCGGCTGATCCTCACTCAAAATTAGCAATAGTGAAAAAAGCCCATGAAGAACGATTGAATGAAGATTAATGTCTCCTCTGACACATAAAAAAAAAACAGAAACGATTTTTCAAAAAAAAAAAAATAATTTTTCTGTAGTCCCGGCAGTCACTTTAAAAATTTTCATTTTTTCAAGAAATTTTTTATATTTTTTACAAGTGAAATAATCTTGACTATATAACATTGATTGATTGCTACTACATTGATACTAAATATTTGACGTATATAGTAGAATTCCTATATTATATCATTGATCTTTATCGCTATATTAAGAATTCATAAATCATTCGCAAAATTTGGAAAATGATGGAAAATGAAAAATTCACAAAAAATGAAATTTGACTGCAGAAAAATTGGTTTTTAATTTTTTTTTTTTAATGGATTGTAATTTATAATGATGAGTTTTTTTTTATTCGTTTATAAATTACAAAGTGGTTTTTTTTAATAATATTTATACATATTTTTTTTTGGTAAGTAACATTTTTTACAGGAGGTATTTTTTATATTATATTTTTTGATATATTACATTTTTTTATATTTTATAATTTTGTTATAAACTATATTTTTTGAATACATTTTTTTTATTTTCTAAATATATTTTTTAATATAATTTTCAATATATATTTTTAAATATATTTTTTAATATATGTTTTATTATGTATATTTTTTATTATATTTTTTATTGATATATTTTATATTTACTTGTTCATGATTTGTTATTAGAACTTTAATACTATGTTGAATTATAAAAATTATATAATTTTGTTGAACAATTTTTTTTTGAAGTTGACAAAACTTTTTTTTAAAAAAAATTTTTTTTGTGATATATTTTATTAATTGTTAATTATTTGTTAATGTTTTTTTATAAGTTTTATTTCAATTGTTTCTCTTTGTTAAATTTTTCAAAAAAAAAAAAATAAATTCAAATGTCTTTTATAATTAAAAAAAAATTTTCGATAAAAAGTTTTGTTTTGTAATTTGTTTTAATTAAATTTTTTTTTTGTAGAATTAATATTTTTTTCTATTGTTTTGTTTTTACTATGTTGTATTAATGTCGGCAAAGATAGAAAAAAAATTTTTTGGACCATATTTTGCTTGTAAATTAAGAATAATGAAAAATTTCCCACATTTACTCGGCTGACATAAATTACAAAAAAAAAAAATTGTAAAAAACAAGCAATAAGTCATATTTTTTTATTCGAGTTTTTGCACTCTTGTTAAAAATCGCCTGGAAAATTTGAAGAAAACAAAAATCCATGTATTTTTATCCAAAATAGAAAATATTGAAAAATTTTTTGGTGATTTTTATTTTCTAAAATCTATTATATAAGAGTGTAAAATCTCGAATGCAATGAAAATATCAGTAGACGTGTGAATAATCTTTAAAAATATTAACTGATTTTGATTTTAAAGAAAATTCTCAAAAAATTTTTTTTTTTTTATTTCCACATTAAAATTAATATTATTTTAAAAAAATACAAATAAATAAAATTTGTATAATAAAAAAAAATTATAAAACTGATTTATTTCAATAAAATAAAAAAATTGAGTAATTTCTTTATTTTTTTTTCTAAAACTTACAGAATTTAACAAAAGCAAAAAAAGAATTTTGAAATCGAATAAAAAATTTTAATTTTCTCAAAAAAAAAATTTTTTTTTAAATTAAAAATTATTTACACTTCTCGAAAATCAGTATTAGAGGTCAAATATAATTATACTGTTACTGTGGTAATTGTGGTAAAAGCTAATATATACGAATAACTTTGTAATTCTTACTTACTCTATTTATGACAAAAAAAAAACAAAAAAACAAAAGAAACATTTAATTATTATGATTATATAATTGTCTTCGTAATAACCAAAAAAGAAAATTACAATGCATATTTTAATCTTTATAAAATTATAAGTAATTAAAAGGATTTAATGAAAGGGGGAAAGATGAGATTGAAAAGTGGAACGCGGGATCTGTCCATTTTTTATCACAGTCTTTCCTCAAAAAAAAAAAAATATGGATCAGTTTCTTGTAATTTTTTTTTGTAGCTGTGCTACAAATAAAAAAAAGAAAATTGTCGAATTCAGATTTAAACCAGAAAAAGAATAACAAAAAAAAAGAGAAAAAGATTTTTAAAAAAATGATAACGATTTTTTTGTCATTTTGTGACACACGAGCATATATAATTTTAACATCATATATATATATATATATTATAAATATAATAAAAAAAAAATGTGACGTGATTAAAATACGCACGTCCTGTACAATTTTTAAGTCATAAGAAAATGCAAAAGAGAGTAAGTGACGTTGTATGACACATTGTCGAGATTTTTGTTATCTTTATCAATAGATAATTTATTAATATTTAAATGAATGAAAAAAAAAATGAAAAAAACTAAATCAAGTTGTATTTTCATATATATTTAACATTTGTTACTTAATTATATTATTTTTTTTCTCTATGAATAAAGATTTTTATTGTCTGCATTGAAAAAATTATGAGTTTAATAATTTACAAAAAAAAATTTTTTTTTTTTATTTTTCTCCTTTTTTATTTTACCTTCAATTTTGTTAATTTGATTTTTATTTTTTTTTATTAATTTATTAATAAAAATTCTAATTAATTTAAAATTTTGTAAAATTGTTCGATAAATATTTACATTAAATTATTCTATACACATTAAATATAATAAAACGAAAAAATTCGTGACTTACAATTTTTTCAATGCACATTATTTTTGCGTAAATCTATTTTATGATGAATCTAATGTTATGCCCGTCGAATGTGAATAGATTTTCCCGTTTTTTTTATTTTAGAATATTTTTATTTTCAACATTTCATGTTATTATTTTATTTCTTTTGAAATTTATTTCATTTTTTCGATTCTTATCCAAAAAGAACATTTTTTTATTTTTATCTCTTGATTCTATTTTTTAATAATATTTTTTTATAATATTTTTGAAAAAAAATTACCTCCATTACTCACATATCATTTTGCATTTTAAAAAACAAAAATTTTGTCTACGTTTCATAATAATACTGTATTGTAAATAATGTGTTTATAATAATTTTTACCTTTTTTTTGAACGGGATTTTCATAACTGCGCTTACGAGTATATAAGAAAAGTAAAAAAAAAAAAATATAAAAAAATACATATATGAAGAGAGATAACTGAAAAAATCCACGATGTAGATATTATCCTAGAACGAGTAGTAATTGAAAAAAAACAAACAAAAAAAATTATGAAAAGAAAAATACATGTAAAACAATTATAAATGTGAAAAAACTCGAATTAATACATATTCGTGATATGATTGAAGATGGATTTTGATCAAACTTTATTCTGTACAATGTACGTGGGTGAATAAAGTCTTTATTTTTTGGCCTCCATTGTCTTTCATAAATTTCCTGAACCTTTTTCTGTTTTTTTTTAAATATTCTTTCGTTCTTTAAATTTTTGATTTAAAATTTTAATTTCAAACTGATTTATAACTGTTTCGAACTGTTTTAAACTACTTCCAACTAGTACGAACAATTTTAAACTAGTACGGACAATTTCAAAATGGTTTAGAACTATTTCTAAATGTTTCAAACTACTTCAAAATAGCACGAACAATTTTAAACTGGTACGGACAATTTCAAACTGGTTTAAAACTAGTTCAAACAATTTTAAACTAGTACGGTCAATTTAAAACTGGTTTAGAACTGTTTCAAACTACTTCAAACTAGTTCAAACAATTTTAAACTAGTACGGTCAATTTAAAATTAATTTAGAACTGTTTCGAACTCTTTTAAACTACTTAAAACTAGTACGAACAATTTTAAACTAATACGGACAAATTTAAACTGGTTTTATACTGTTTCGAACTGATTTAAACTAGTACGGTCATTTTCAAACTAGTTTAGAATTATTTCAAACTAGTTTAGAATTATTTCAAACTACTTCAAACTAGTACAAACAATTTTAAACTAGTACGGTCAATATCAAACTTGTTTTGAAAAATTTTAAACTTGTTTGAACAGTTTTATACTGGTTTTCAACAGTTTTAAACAATTTAAACTTGTACGGATAATTTCAAAGTGGTTTTAAACTGTTTCGAATAATTTTAAAATTGTACAAACAAATTCAAACTTAGATTGATCAGTTTCGAACCATTTTAAACTTGTACAAACAGTTTTATACTGGTTTTCGACGGTTTTAAATAATTTTAAATTAGTAAAAACATTTTGTTACTGATTATGAACTGGTTCGAATTGTTTTAAACTACTTCAAACTACTTCAAACTAGTAGGAATAATTTTAAACTAGTACGTACAATTTCAAACTGATTTGGAACTGTTTCTAACTGTTTTAAACTAGTACGAACAATTTCAAACTAATGTAGAACTGTTTCAAACTACTGCAAACTAGTACGAACAATTTCAAACTGGTTTTGAACAATTTTAAACTTATACGAACAGTTTCCTACTGGTTTTTTGACGGTTTTGAACAATTTTAAATTAGTAAGAACATTTTGAAACTGATTATGAACTGGTTTGAACTTTTTCAAACTACTTCAAACTAGTACGAAACAATTTCAAACTTGTTCAGAACCATTTTGAACTTGTACGAACAGTTACAAAGTGGTTTTCAATTGTTTTAAATTATTTAAAACCTATAAAAACAATTTCAAACTAGTTTTAAACAGTTCCAAACTTAATTTAAACTGTTTAAACAATTTTAAACTAGTTCAAACAATTAAATAACTTTAAATTGTTGAAAAAAAATGTTTGAACTTATTTTTAAACCATTTTCAACTACTATGGAATGATTTGAAATTAGATTTTGAAATTCCACTGTTTTTTTTTTAATTTAAAAATATTTTTGGGTAATATAAATTAATTTTTAATAATTTCTAATTTAATAGAATAAAATTAGAATAAATTATTTTTTTTAAAGAATTTTTTAGACACCCCTGGACAATTTAAAAGCGCTTATCGTATCATGAAGCTTTAATATGTACAACAAAGAGGTTTACAAGTTTTACACATATACACACACAAACATACACGCATACGTATATTCAG